CATGTACAGTGTGCTATCTGATATCTGCAGAATATACATTCTAACTATAGTAGGGCTCATTGAGGTAAACCATACGCTGGGCAATGAGAGTTAATAGCACCCAATTGTGACGGGCCAAAACCTGCTCCATTTTGTTTCAGCTGGAGCCATCTTTGGTTTAAACTAAAGCTAACACCCACTCCTTTTTTCCTGCACTATGAAAAGTCCCATGGAAAAGCACCCAGTTCTGTTCTAGAAACTTGGGGTTGAAATGCCCCAGCTAACTGCATATTTTTGGCTTCTGGTAAACAGTTTGCTTGCTTTATTTCCTCCTGCACTGCCAATGAGCTCCCTGTAAAATGCATGAGGCTTCTCTGTGAGGAGTGTTTCTCTCCAGGAAATTTGGTTGTTAGCACAACCAAATCCCATGCATAGTTTTTACAATAGTATTAAGTTAGAAATCAGTAGTAACAATATGTCTAAAAAATTCCCCAGTACTCAAAAAAAACATATTTTCGATAGCCAGTGAGTCAAAACAAAAACAGTCAAAGGAAAACAAGAAAAAATTATGAAGCTGGGCGTTGGTGGCACACATCTTTAGTCCCGGCACTCTCGGGAGGCAGAGGCAGGTGGATCTCTGTGAGTTCGAGGCCAGCCTGTTCTATAAGGGCTAGTTCGAGGACAGCCTCCAAAGCCACAGAGAAACCCTGTCTGGAAAAACCAAAAAAAAAGAAAAAAAAAAGTGCTTGTTACCACTGATCCCTCTCTCCAGGCCACACAGTTGTTTTTTTTTTTTTTTTTTGGTTTTTACGAGACAGGGTTTCTCTGTATTGTTTCGGAGGCTATCGGTCCAGCCCGGCCTCGAACTCACAGAGATCCGCCTGCCTCTGCCTCCCAAGTGCTGGGATTAAAGGTATGTGCCATCACCGCCCAGCTACACAGTTGTTTTTTTAGACAAGGTCTTACTATGTAGCCCAGGCTATCCTGTCTCTGCCTCTCAAGAGTTCTGTTAGGGGATGCTGGAGAGATAGCTCAGCGGTTAAGAGCACTAACTGCTCTTCCAAAGGTTCTAAGTTCAATTCCCAGCAACCACATGGTGGCTCAAAACCATCTATAATGAGATCTGGTGCCCTCTTCTGGCCTGCAGACATACATGCAGGCAGAATACTGTATGCATAATAAATCTTAAAAAAAAAAAAGAGTCCTGTTTGGGCTTCATGGGTAAAGGCTCTTGCTCCCAAGCCTGATGACCACAGTTTAATCTCCAGGACTCATATGGTAGATGGCAGACAGAAGGAACCAACTTCTTCACCATGTGTGTACATAGCACCCATGCATGCATGCACATACATACACACTACACATGTGCCCATATTCACACACCCCATAGAGCCTTGTTTTGTAGGCTGTATTGTTTGATAAACTGAGATGTTCACATAACACAATAGAGCATTTCTCAAGCTGTCACTCAGTAATGTATGACCATACTTAGCAGGGCTGTTGGAGCTAAGACTGCTATTCAATACATCTTGGTCTTGATAAGAAATTCTTCTGATTTTCTCTTATTTTTATTATATATATATATATATATAATATATATATATATATAATTTTTTTTTGGTTTTACGAGACAGGGTTTCTCTGTATTGTTTTGGAGGCTGTCAGTCCAGCCCGGCCTTGAACGCACAGAGATCCGCCTGCTTCTGCCTCCTGAGTGCTGGGATTAAAGGCGTGTGCCACCACTGCCCGGCTTTATTATATTTTTGAGACAAGGTCTCACGGTATAGCTCAAACTCTCTATGTAGCCCAAGTTGGCTTTGAACCCACAAACCTCTTCCCTCATCTTTTTGGGTGCTAGATTACTTCTGTTCTTGGGTTCTGGGGATAGAACTCAGGTTACTAGTCTTATCAGCAAGCATCCTTGCTGCTCACTAGGCCTTCCCACCAGCCCTACTTCTGTTCTTCCTCTCTCTCTCTCTCTCTCTCTCTCTCTCTCTCTCCCCTTCCCCCTTTTTGGTGTTTTTTGAGGCAGTCTCTCTGTAGCCCTGGCTGTTCAGCAACTGGCTCTGTAGAACAGGCTGTCCTCGAACTCACAGAGATCCGCCTGCCTCTGCCTCCCAAGTGTTGGGATTAAAGGTGTGCACCACCAGTGCTTGGCCTGTTTTACATTTTCCACTAAGGTATTAACCTATAAATTCTTCCTAAGCTTAGTTTTCTCTGCACTCCCAAAACCACAATATGTAGTGTCTTAGGGTTTCAATTGCTGTGAAGAGACACTATGACCATGGGAGCTCTTATAAAGGAAAACATTTAATTAGGGTGGCTTACATTTTCAGAGGTTTAATCCATTATCATTATGGTACAATATGGTAGTGTGCAGGCAGACATGGTACTGGAGCTGGGAGACTTTACATTTTGCTCCAAAGGCAACAGGAAGTAAACTGAATCACTAGGCATGGCTTGAGCATATATGAGACCTCAAAGCCTTCCTCCACAGTGATACACTTCCACCAACAAGACCACACTCATGACTACAAGGCCACACTTCCCAGTAGTGCTATTCCCTTTGAGGGCTATTTTCTTTCAAACCACCACATGTGCTATTTACATTATCATTTGGGTTTTTTTGTTTGTTTGTTTTTTCAAAACAAGCTTTCTCTGTATTGCTTTAAGATGCCATCCAGAACCTTCCCAATATCCTTGTTTTTATCTGTTGTGACTTGCGGAATCAAAGTCCCTTAATTTGAAACAATTTAAATTATCATTTATTTCCATCAAGGATTAATCCATCCTCCCGGGCTTGAGACACAGAACAAGAAAGACTTGTCCTCATTTGTACCTGAGAATCTATTTTTCACCCAAGAAATTTCAGATTTTCTACCAAAGACCCTTTTTCCTGGGTTATGGGGACATAAGCACACACAGGCCTCACCTTGTTATGGAAGACCAGGGTAACACTCTTGATTGTGTTCAGAACATGCTGCAAATGGTTCGGACAGTGGCCAGTTCCTGTTTCCCCAACCCAGAGCCTCTTTTTCTTTCCAAGGAGGCTCAGCTGTAATTGATGTGATTGAAAACCCCCAGAGGGTTCTTCTGGGGCACTTCAACGTGATGTCGACATTTTCTGGAAGGTCGACAGCCTGGTAGCTGAGAACGGCCTTTGTTCTTAAGTAAATGTGGCAAAGATTAATGCAGTTCTTTTTTTTCAAAACGCTCAACATCTTCTAACTTATGAGACCAGTATGACACTGATACCACAAAGACTGAAATATTAAAAAAGAATATCCTAAGTATAGACTATTATTCCTTGTGAAAATACATGGAAGTTTCCTTTACATATTAGTGCATCAAATCTCACAATTAATAAAGTTAACTCACCATGACCAAGACCAAGTGAGGTTTATCCCAGGAGTTTATCCCAGGAATGCAGTCTACCTTTTTTTTTGTTGTTGTTTGTTTGGTTTTTCGAGGCAGGGTTTCTCTGTATTGTTTTGGAGGCTTTCCTGGAACTCGCTTTGTAGACCAGGATGGCCTCGAACTCACAGAGATCCACCTGCCTCTGCCTCCCGAGTGCTGGGATTAAAGGAGTGCACCACCAACGGAGTGCACCACCAAAGCCCGGCTTGCAGTCTACCTTAACATTAAAAAAAAAAAAGCTACCTAGTAGGTCGTGGAGGACAGGAAGGTTGACTGGGGGAGTAGGATGGGGAAAGAGGGAAGCATAGGTTAGAAGACAGATCAGGCACCAGTGTGACCTCTAGTGATCTAAAGGGATGACACCAATTGGCAAGCTAAGCAATAGTGTAGAGATCACCTCGAATGACCATTCCTGATAATGATCTTGATGTCTATAACCATCCTGGAGCCTTCATCCAGCGACTGATGGAAGCAGAGGCAAACACCCTCAGTTAAACACTGAACAGAACCCAAGGAACCCAATGACAGAGAGAGAGGAGCGATGAGCAAATTGGCAAAGAATGGGCTGGCAAAACCAGCAGAGACAGCTGATCCAAACGGGAGAGCTCTTGAACCCCAAACTGACAGCCGGGAGGCCAGCATGGGACCGATCCAGACCCACTGAATGTGAGAGTCAGTGAGGAGGCCTGGGCTACCTATGGGGTCGTGAGCAGTGGATCAGTGTTTATCCCTTGAATACTAACAGACGTCATGTGTCCATAACACAAAGAGGGATGCTCTCTTAGTCTGGACTCTTAGGGAAGTGCCTGGACCCTACCCTGAACGAAATGATAGACTCTAGATATCCCCTACGTGGAAGGAATTGGCAATAGGGTGGGAGGATGGGGGGATGGGAGGGTGCGGGAGAAGGGGAGGGAGAGGGAACTGGGATTGACATGTAAAATAAGCTATTTAAAATTTTAAAAAAAGCTGAGTGATGGTAGTGCACACCTTTATTCCCAGCACTCAGGAAGCAGAGGCAGGCGGATCTCTGTGAGTTGGAGACCAATTTGGTCTATAAGATCATCCAAAGCCACAAAGAAACCCTGTCTCAAAAAAAAAAGAAAAAAAAAAAAGAAAGAAAGAAATGGTGTCCTTTGTACTATGTTGTCTGGCTAGCCCTATAGATATTTGCTTGTTATCTCTGTAAAAGCTGCAGTTGCTTTTTCCAGTTAGATACCTGTGTAGTTCTGTTTGTTATATTTTATTTTTGTTTTTGAGGTCATAGTCTCACTATGGAGCTCAGGCTGGTCATCCTCCTGCCTCAGCCTCCTGGGATTATTATACTTACGCCTACACCAAGCCTGGTTGTCTACTTTTGTTTTTCTGTTTTCAGTACTATTGAATCAAACCCAATTCATATGAATATGCCAGGGTCAGCATTCTAGCACGGAGTCCCTCCTTCCTATGGACAGGTATGCTGTGGTAAAAGGCTGGGCAGGTGGGTTCAGCGGCTGGAAGTTCACAGGCAGGAAGAGCTGGGAAGTAAGGCAACAACGCGCTTTCTTTCTCTCCCTTCCTCTCCCTCCCCTTGCAGCTCTTCTCAGCAACTACCAGACATGACGAAGAAGAGATGGACAATTTATTTCACTTCACCTGAGCCATAGACAAGGCCGAGTTCAGGGAGAGGAAACCAAAGCTGTTCCCTAAATCCTCCTGTGCTCGTCCGTCGTCACGATGAGGACAGACCTAGCCAATGGAGGATGGGTAGGTCCTAAGAAGCATTTGGTGAAACTTAAGGGCTTTTGGTATCCTCCTGCTTCTCAGGGTCGGGGATGTCCTCCGGATTGCTGGAGGACCGTGCAGTGCTCATCAGAGTCTCTTGCACCGGAGACCCTTGCTCTTGCTCCTCGCTGTTGCAAGAATTGTTGGTGGAAGAGGAGCTGCCCATCATCAGGCTCCAGAAGTTTTTATGGTTGAGGTAGCAAAGGACCCCTGGGGTGGGGTGGGGGGCACACGAGAAAAAGGGGGAAGCGGAGAGCGGCATGAAGGTGACCGGTGAGGCGAGCCAAAGGGGAAGGCTAAGTCCCTGTGGACTCTCGGGTGAGCGTGGGGGGTTGCCTGCCCCTTCCCTCCACAGGTCCTCTGCCCTGATCACCCAAGTCCCTTCCTCTTTCCCCAGGGCCCTCCTAACCACTCACCACATGTGAAATACAGGATGAGCACCAGCCAACCAATGAAATAGCTCCACCCGATGGGGACCGATATGTTCTTCTTCAGCTCGTAGATCCAGAGGTTAACAGGGAACAACAGGAGGGTGAGGAAAATGAAGGTGACTGGGAGGCAGGAGTGGAGAGATCTTATTCTCACCTAAGAATCGCACATGAGTTCTGCCTCATCTCCCGAGCTACAGCCGCCAACCGCTCACACTGAGTCCTAGGCCCAGATGGCTCGAGAAAGTCAACCCTCCTGTCTACAGGATTCTGGAACTAGTATATCTCTGGTCTCACTTCTCCCCTCCCAGGGCACCAAACGCTCGCTCCACCCCCAGAGAAGAGGGAGACACGCCCAGGAAGATGTGGGTTAGGGAATTAAGGACCTTTTTCAGAGCTGGGGGGCACCTTCACAGAAGCTCAGGACGATCCCAATCAAGCCAAAGAAAGGCATTCTCTGCAGGCCGGGCAGGTACGGCAGGTGCAGCCAGGTGGTGAGGGCAAAGCCCAGCACCAAGGCCAGGGTGAAACTTACATTAGCCACCCCCAAAACTGGATGGTTTGTCCACAGCTCTAAACTGTCTGCGGAAAATGACAAAATAGGAACTCAGCATTCACAAACATGAGATACGATCAAATGAACAAACATGAGGGAAATACTCAGCTCATTCAGAACCAAAGAAATGCAGAGTTAAAAACCGTAAAACATGGTGGTGCAAGCCTTAATCCCAGCACTTGGGAGGCAGAGACAGGTGACTCACCCCATGAGCTCAGCAGTGGTAATGGGAAGGCTGAGCTAGGAGGATAGACTTAGCTTTGAGGCTACATGGTGAGTTACTGACCAGGCTGGACTACAGTGTAATGTTTTAAAAAATAGCTGGGTGTGGTGGTTCACACCTGGCTATTCACTCCCAACATTGGAGAGACAGAGGTGGTCCTATCTCTGTGAGGTCAGCCTAGTCTACATAGCGAGTTCAAGGACAGTCAGAGCTACATAGTGAGACCCTATTTTAAAAAATAAAATAAAAGATAGACATAAAAAATTTAAAAAGCCAGGCATGTTGGCACACATCTTTAATCCCAGCATTCAGAGGCAGGCAGACTTTTGCAAATTCAAGACCAGCCTAGTCTATATATATAGCAAGTTCCAGGGCATCCCCGGCTACAGAAAAACACTATCTCAACAAAACAAGACAACAACAAAAAGAAATCAATAAGAGAAAAATAGAAGGAAAAGAAAATCAGAACACAAATAGCAATTCTCAAAAGAAAAACTATGCAGTTGTCAATGGATTGACAATAACTTTAGTGGCTCTCCCTTTTCAAAAGAAATCTTGCAAATGCACTTATAATTTTAGACCCTGAAGCCTGGAATGAGTGGTAACTGGCTAGTTTCTGAGGTTGGCTTCAAAACATCTTCCCTATTGTCCTAATGTGAAGTGCTGGCTCCTATTGAATGAATCCACTTTCATTAACGACCATGACATCATGGGCCACACCTTTCCGTTGCTCCTTTCCTGGCACGACTGCATGGCTTTCAAACCCTTTACTCTGTTTTTGTTTTGTTTTGTTTCTGAGACAGGGTTTCTCTGTGTAACTTTGGAACCTGTCCTGGAACTCGATCTGTAGACCAGGCTGGCCTCGAACTCACAGAGATCCTCCTGCCTCTGCCTCCTGAGTGTTGGGATTAAAGGCATGAGCCACCAACGCCTGACTTTACTCTGTTTTTGTTTGTTTTGTTTTTCTTACTCCTAAATTTCACTACAATCTGACTAAAAGGAGACAGATTCTTCCCACAAACCAATTCCAAAGGCTTCCTTCCTTCCAGGGATCAGATGTGGTCACAGGAAGGATCCCTCTCTTCTGTGACCAGTTTTCTGTATTAGTTGCCTGTTCTTCTTTGTGACTAAACACCTAACAGAAACAATTTAAAGGGAGAAAGGTTTATTCTGCCTTTTGACTTCAGGATTTAGTCCATGGTTACTTGGCTCCAGGTAACTGGGCCATTATAGTGGCAGGAATGTGTGGCATACGCTGTGCAAAGCATATTCTTCACTTATTAGAAGACAGAAAGTGGCCGGGCATTGGTGGCGCACCCCTTTACTCCCAGCACTTGGGAGGCAGAGGCAGGCGGATCTCTGTGAGTTCGAGGCCAGCCTGGTCTACAGAGCGAGTTCCAGGAGAGCCTCCAAGACAATACAGAAAAACCCTGTCTTGAAAAAAACCAAAAAAAAAAAAAAAAAAAAAAGAAGACAGAAAGTGCCATGCATGGTGGCCCATACCCTTAATCCCAGCACTGGGAAGGCAGAGGCAGGCCAATCTCTTTGAATTTGAGGCCAGCCTGGTCTACAAAGTAAGTTCCAGGATAGCCAAAGCTACACAGAGAAATCCTGTCTCCAAAAACCAAAAACCAAAACCAAAACTAAACCAAAGTAGTACTGAGTGCATATAAGTCAAGTGTGGCAGCTCATGCCTGTAATCCCAGCTCTCAGGAGGCTGAAGATGGCTGCCAGGTCAAAGTCAGCCTGGCTACATAATGAATCCTAGGATACCCTGGACTACAGAGTGAGGCCCTGGGGATGTGACTCAGTGTTGGCACTTAGCATGTGTGGGGAATTGGGTTCCCCTCACAGCACCACAGAGCAAGGCACACACTATTCTACATCTGCCCTTTTTTTTTTTTTTTTTTTTTTTTTTTTTGGTTTTTCGAGACAGGGTTTCCCTGTGGCTTTGGAGGCTGTCCTGGAACTCCCTTGGTAGTCCAGGCTGGTCTCGAACTCACAGTGATCCGCCTGCCTCTGCCTCCCGAGTGCTGGGATTAAAGGCGTGCGCCACCAACGCCCGCCTACATCTGCCTTTATGAAGTTTATGCTATTGCCATTTCGTGTGGTGTGACCCTCAGCTCCAATCTTCCCATCTACAAAATAAGGCTAATTATCCCTGTCTCTTGTGGACAATTTGGCTGGACAAATAGCATGCCATTGATGATATTTTTTCCCATATTTATCCTTAAGAAGATATAATTGCTGTACACCTGTCTTTTGCTTATGTGAAGGAGAATGAGCAGGAAATGGACATCCAGAACTGGACATTTAGCCGGGCATTGGTGGCGCACGCCTTTAATCCCAGCACTCGGGAGGCAGAGGCAGGCGGATCACTGTGAGTTCGAGACCAGCCTGGACTACCAAGGGAGTTCCAGGACAGCCTCCAAAGCCACAGGGAAACCCTGTCTCGAAAAACCAAAAAAAAAAAAAAAAAAAAAAAAAGAACTGGACATTTCTGAGGTGGTGAGGGGACAGCACGGAATGAAATGAGTCAGAAGTTAAGCGGCTGTAGGAGTCCAGGAAAGGAAGGACTAAGGAAGCCTCGCAATGAAGGGCAAGGGCGGAGCTGGCCCAGAAGCACAGCAGAAGGGCAGGGAGGGGCGATTGCAAGAGAACCTCCCGGGTCATCGAGGGCTCTGAGTACGCACACCTAGGAGACAGCACCTCCAGCTGAAGGGGATGCTATGCAGGAATCATCCAGACAGCTTTCAACGTTCTGTGTAGCCCTGGCTGTCTTGGCACTCGCTCCGTAGACCAGGCTGGCCTCAAAGTCACAGAGATCCCTCTGCCTCTGCCACTTGAGTGCTGGGATTAAAGGCGTGGCATTCTTAAAGCAAAATCCTTCAGGCTCTACCTAAAGAGGCGATATCTACTGAGTCAGGTGAGTTGATTTGGCCAAACCAAAGGAAGAAAATGATCCTCAGAGGTCGCCATGCCGGCAGAGCCCTCTTTCTCGAGTCAAATGAAGATGGCTGACAGGAGGAACAGGACTGTGGGGCCAGGCTGGAGACCTGGCATGGGATGAGGGAGCTCACCTTTCTCACTGCCTGAGCTCGAGCAGCTTCTAGATATGCAGGTGTACAGGAGTCCTGTGGACATTTTATGTATCGAGGTGTAGACTCTATTGGTGACATTTTTGGGGTAGCGCTGATGGAAACGACTCTTAGAGGGGTACAGCCATTTCTTGGAGAAGACCATGACCAGAAGGAGGAGGAAACCCACCAAGCTGAATTCTGAAGCCACCAGCTGGGACATCCAGCGGGAGCTGTGTGTAATTCTCCAATGAAAGGGCAATAGGGAGTTGCGGCGATGCTCGGTGAGTGACCGCCTGTTCCTGCCAGGAGAAGGGACAGAGTCCTGAACAAGGTTCTCTGTGCTCTGCCCAGGCTACCCCTCCTCCGCCCCTCCTAGGCCTCTGACGCCTGCTCTCTCCCACCCACCTGCTTCCCTTCCACACTCACCTGGTACTTATCTTCTCAGTTTTTCCCTCAGTCACATCAGTTTCCATCACAGGCCTAGTGTCTGAGGAAGAATGGGGGGGACCTTCCTTTCAGGCACCTGAGCTCCAGATCCGAGAAGGCCTCACCCCATTCTGCTGAGCCGGCCCTAACTGCCATGGAATATTGCTGGGAAGCCGAGAGATGGGGGATGGGCTGTGGATTCAGCCCCAACCCTTTCTCAAAATTCTATTCCTCTGGTTCCTCTAACTGTGGGTCGGATGCCTCTCTCCTAGCTGCTGCCTCCCTTTATCCAAGGTGATGATCTCTGAGACAGCCCACTTCTCTTCTCTAATCCCAAATGCTCACTGACAGCCAAGGAGAGGGAGAAAGACATGCTTCTAGGAAAAGGTCTGAATACCTTCATTCTTTACCTTCGGATGCTTGTTCCAAGCATGCATTAACCTCCCCCAGCTTCTTCCCTCTCTCTGTCTCACCTGTCCACTCAGTTCCAGTCAACAATGGTCAGCCCCTCCCCCCTCACGCCCCCTTTCTCTTGACAGGTGCTTTCTATGTAGCTCAGCTGGCCTGAAACTCACTGTAGAGTCCAAGTGACGAAATGAGAAAAGAAATAAAAAGGGAAGGACATGCTGCTCCTAGGTATGGTGGAGGAGAAAGCTTCTTGCAGATGAAAGGGAGAGCATAGGCAGAGACAGGGACATCTGGGAGAATCCACAGTAGACATGTTCCTGAGCCATATGAAGAGACAGGGAGAGGGGAGAGGAGAGAATCCGGTGCAGCAACCAGGGGTAACCAAAATGGCTGGGTTCTATCGGGAAGGGCATCAGGAGGAGGAGCAGCCCAGAGGGCTGGAGAAGTTCAGGACAGGGGGCTGGATACAGGGACTGAGGGATGCTGTTGGGAGAACCTGGTCGCCAGCATCTGATTTGATATGTTAAATAGGCCCCACAGCCATTTATTTGTTTCAGGTTTGAGACCTAACAGTGACCTCATAACAATCCTTTTGCTCTGCCTCCCAAGGTCTAGGATTTTACAGGTGTGAGGTACCATCCCTGCCTTCTTTTTAGGATTTATTTATTTTTTATAAGCATTGGTGTTTGGCTGCATGTATGCCTGTGTGAGGATGTCAGATCCCCTGGATCTGGAGTTACAGACAGTTGTGAGCTGTAATATGGGTGCTAGGAATCAAATCCTGGTCCTCTGGAAAACCAGTCAGTGCTCTTAACTACTGACTGAGCTGTCTCTCCAGCCCATCCCTGGATCCTACTTCTCATCTTTTCTTCTTAGTATCAGAAGACGGAGGACACAGAATGAAGATAGACCTGGGGTGTCACGTAGAATGATGATTTTTCTAGCTTCTTTTTTTTAAACATGGGTTTTGGTGATAAACTCAGGTTGATAGGCTCAACAAAAGCTTTTACCTGCTGAGCCATCTCTTGGCCCCTGTTTGTGTGTGTGTGTTTACTTGTTTGTTTGAGACTGGGTTCCAGTCTATTCATCTGGAGAGCAGACAGTAAGACTTGTCTCAAGGACTCCATTTGACTACTGAGTGAGATAAAGTCCTGAGTACTTGTTGGCTCCCAGTATATGGTATTGTTTCTGTTGAGTTCTATTTATAGTTGTTTTTGAAGTCTCACCAGCAAACAGGGAAAAGGCAAACACATAGAAGATAATTCCTGGCCGACATCCTTGTGTATTAGTTACTACAACAGAGTTCAAATGAGTTTGAGCAAAAGAAATGTTAACTCTGAGCCTCAAGTTTAAATGAGCAGCCAGATGCCAGCAACAGTTCCAATTCGGGACTCCAGTCCTCACACTCTGACCTCCCCCGAGTAGCTCGAGTAGCCCATTGCCTCTCTGAAGACCAGGGCTCTTGTGCATACTGTGAGAAATGTGGTCCTGACCCCCAAGCTGTGCCACTACCACCTCTAACCCTTATAACGGAGAAGTCTCTATAGTCCTGTGGGAATAAGTGCTGTCCTCAGAACAACAGCCAGCCAATCCAAGGATGAACTCTGAAGCTGCCAGGAGGGACAGCCCTCAAGTGCAGTGGCTGCCCAGATTTAGAAAGTCCCACTGCAAGAGCCAGAGATCGTCAGTGTCATGTTTCCTTTCTCAGATCCTTTTTGGGGTTTCCTCGAGTTTCCAAGCCTTTCTAATAAGAATGAGCAGGTCTCACAGCAATGCATGGAAGGCTCTTGGAAATGTGTTTCTGAAGAACATAACTTCTGCAAGATTATGCTGTAAATACAATATCACTTTTTATAGAACTTACAAACACCACTAGACAAAGCATGATTTACACACACATACACACACACACACACACACACACACACACACACACACCATTGCATAGTATTTTTTCAAAAGCAGTGGAAAATAAGCAAAAGTACCTATGGTGGTGACTTCTCAGAAGGAGCAGAAGAGTGGGCTGGAGGGGACCACACCGGCATATACATGCTATTGATAATAGTCTCGTTCCTAGGTAAAGTGGTAGGCACTCATATACATAAACTATTTTTTGAGATTTATTTATTTTTATTTTATGTATATGGATATTTTGTCTGCATGTATGTCCATGCACATGTGCATGCCTGGTGATCTCGGAGACCAGAAAAGGGCATCAGATCCCCTGGAGCTGGAGTTAGAGATGGTTGTGAACCACCCTCTGTGTGCTGAGAACCAAACCCAGATTGTCCTGAAGTGCCACTAGTGTTAACTGCTGAGCCATCTCTCCAGCCTGTAGAGTGATCCTTTTTCTTATCTGCCGCTTTGGTTTTTTCCCCACCAGTCGCCTGTGCTCTGCCGAGTTGTAGTCCCCAAATAACACACAAGACGTTCTATTAATTATGAAGCTGCTGGCCTTGCTTGCTTCGTACTGGATAGCTCTGACTTAAATATTTATCCCATAATTGTTAATCTAAGTATTTCTCTTACTGGAGAAGTTTCCGGGCTTCTTACCCCTATGGCGGTTACATCTTGACTCCCTGTGTTTCTCCTACCCAGAATCCTCCTGGACTCCTAGTCCCACCTATCTTGCTTCCCTATTGGCCAACAGTGCTTTATTGATATATACACAGGACTTTCCCATCACTAGCCCATATTTTTTTTCCCCCTGAGACAGGGTTTCTCTGTGTGGCTTTGGAGGCTGTCCTAGAACTGGCTCTGTAGACCAGGCTGGCCTCCAACTCACAAAGATCCACCTGCCTCTGCCTCCTGAGTGCTGGGATTAAAGGCGTGCACCACAAAAAACGCACCTGCTGCCAAGCCTAGAGACTTCATTTTCATCCCTAAGGCCTACATAGCAGAAGGAGAGAACCAACTCCTGTAAGTTGTTTTCTGACTGCATTCATGAACATTCACACACACACACAGTGAGACAGAGAGAGATAAGCATGTAACTAAAAAATTAATATATGTGGGGGCTGGAGAGATGCTTCAGTGGTTAAGAGCATGTGCTGTTCTTCCAGAGAACCTGGGTTCAATTACCAGCATCCACATGGTAGCTCATAACTGTCTATAACTTGACACCCTCACACAAACATACATGTAGGCAAAGCACCAATGCACAGAAAACAAAAATACATAATAAATAAATGTAATTTAAGAGATTTTGTTTTTGGTTTTTCAAGATAGGGTTTCTTTGTAGATTTGGAGCCTATCCTAGAACTTGCTTTCTAAACCAGGCTGTCCTCAAACTCAGAGATCCATCTGCCTCTGCCTCCCAAGTGCTGGGATTAAAGGCGTGCACCGTCACTCCCTGGCCATAATTTAAAAATTTTAAGAATTACTTTTCCAAAGATAACTGAAAATAGCTTAAGTCAGGAGTGCAACTATTATCCCAATGTGAGGGGAGGTGAAGGTGGGACAGCAGGAGTCCAAGATGATCCCCGACTGTGTAATGATTTAGAAGCCAAGAAAAATCCAGGTGGGTTTTCACACATCGTTAATCTCAGCATGCAGGAGGACAAGGTAGGTGGATGGGTGGATCTCTGGGAATTGGAGGCCAGCCTGGTCTACAATCCAAGTTGCAGGCCAGCCAGGGTTACATGGCATGACCTTATCTAAGAAAAAAAAAGGAGATGGGAGAGAGGGTGTGGTTGGGGGTGTGTGCAAGAAAGAAAGAGGACAGTTAAAAGAAAGGAAATGTAATCTTAGTGGCTTCCAGCTCAGCAGCAGAATGTTTATGCAGTCACAATAACTAAGGTAAACACTGTTCGATGAATTTCCATTCTTAGCATCAACAGACAGACAAAGCTTGGAAAACGCAATAAAGATGGACACAAGTAAGCACAGCAGCCTCCACATGACCCAAGAAAAAGTCTGAGAGTGAAGGGAAGGGTGGCGGATTCAGGCTCAGCAAACACATTTCCTAGATTTCTCATCTCCTGACTGGAATAAGTGACACATCCTATAACAAGAGCTGGAGGCTCTTATGGGGCTGGAGGAATGGCTCAGCGGTGAACACACAGTACTTACTGCTCTTGCAGAGGATCCAGGTTCAGTTCCCAGCACTTGCTGGATAACTCACAAATGTAATTCCAGTTACAGAGAATCTGATGCTTCTTTTGACATACACAGGCTCTTATATGCAGATGATGTCCAGACATCCGCTCAGGCACGCGCACACACACACACACACACACACACACACACACACACACACACACACACACACACACACTGGAACAACTCAATTTCTTTAGAACCACTGAGCAAGATGAACTTCTACATCAGGTAAACTTATATCATACCCCTTGGCTTGTACCTTGGAGTGGTCTTTTAAATACCTTTTTCTCTCTCTCCTTTTTTTTTTTTCCGAGACAGGGTTTCTCTGTATTGTTTTGGAGTCTGTCCTGGAACTCTGGAACTCACTCTGTAGACCAGGTTGGCCTCAAACTCACAGAGATCCGCCTGCCTCTGCCTCCTGAGTGCTGGGATTAAAGGCGTGTGCCACCAACACCTGGGTTTAAATACCTTTTAAGTAAATAAATAAATATTGGTTTCTTATAACTTAAGCTTCAGGTCTCCTAACTTGTACTGGCTTTTTTTAGGCCACCTCAGAGGACCCTAAAAGTTGACTCACCTAGGTATATATTTCTGCAAGATTTATAAAAATCAGGGGTACATGAGCAGCCTTCACTTTCTGTGAAGTTGGCCTTGAGCTCTGGATCTTCTTGCCTCCACCTCACAAATGCTGGGGTTCAGATGTGCGCCACACCTTACTTAGTGATTAGGTTCTAATGAATGGCTACAGCGATGGGCAGCATGGCCGTCACTAGGTTAGTGGGGACACAAAATGCCACCAACAAGCGAGTGGATTTGGAAGTAGATTCTTCCCTTGTTGAGTCTTCACATGAGAACTCAGATCCTAGGCTATCTGTTGACTCTGCTTGACTTGACTATGGCTATTTTGAGCTGTATGATATGATGATTCAGATCTTTTTTTTTTTTTTTTTTTTTTTTTTTTGGTTTTTCGAGACAGGGTTTCTCTGTAGCTTTGGAGGCTGTCCTGGAACTCACTTTGTACACCAGGCTGGCCTCGAACTCACAGAGATCCACCTGCCTCTGCCTCCCGAGTGCTGGGATTAAAGGCATGAGCCACCAACGCCCGGCGATGATTCAGATCTTATATTCTGTTTATTTGAGTCTTGCTTGGAGCTCAGGATGGCATTGAATCAAAGACCCTCCTGCTTTAGCCTTATAAATACAGGGAGTCCATACCTGTGCCACCATGTCCCACTGGTTTAGATCTTAAATGTCCTCTGAAGGGCACATATTGAAGGCATACACTGAAGGCTTAGTCAAGGTTAGGTGGTGGGAAGAACCTTCAGAAAGTGGGGCCTAATAGAATCAGGGCACTAAGAGCATACCTTTTCAGGGGAGAATGGAACCTCCATCATTTCCTCTTTTGGTTCCTATTCACCATGAGGTGAGCAGATCCCCTCTGCCATGCATCCTCTGCTCTGCCACAGCCCTGGAGCACCAGGACAAGCGAGCAAAGCTGAAAAAAAACTTGAAACCCTGAGTTAAGGTGAAATTTTCCTTACAAGTTGGTTTATTGGGGTGCTTTGGTCATACTGTGCAAAGACAATCAGGCAACAACAGGATTGCTCCAGATTACCCCGTCTGCTTTCCTGACAAACCATACGCAGTAAGAACAGCTAAAGTGCTCTGTGAGGTTTATGACCAGACTCTGGCACCAGGAATGTTCTTAACTCTTCCCATTGGTTTAAGGCAAACAGAGTGCATTTGATCCGGCAGAAATCACTTTGTCCTAACCAAAACACATACCCTCTTCCCAGGGGTCTGCTTGCTCCTGCTACTCCTCAGGATCCCATTCTGTCAGCAAATCTGACCGTCCTCCCAACAGTTTCACTTCGTACAGTCTTCATTTTCAAGCTGTCCCTTTTCCTTGTGGCTCTTTTGTGAACAGCCTCGATTATGCACTGTGAACTGGGTCCTCAAACAAAACGAAAGAAGTCCCTTGATCCTGCCTGTCCTTCTTCAACCTGGTCCCATGATGCACTAGACCAAACTCACATGTCAGTCTATTAAATCTGCTTCCGTTGATAATTCACGATATTCTGAACCATTTTGTGAGTAGCAAGTCCTCGCTACAGGGATGAATCTCTGATCAGGGTTCCCTGGAAATACATAGAAAGCATGCCAAGCAGCGGAAATTAGGAGCAGTGCTCATTAAGGTCCTGCCTGACATCTAAGGCAGTGTTAGTCCACCTGCATCTTGAAGCTGGCTGGCCTGTGTTCCAGTACCCACTGTTAGCTGTGTGACTTGACCTTTCAGTTCAGTGCCTCAGTTTCTCCATCCACATAACAATAATGACGACAATATTTGTATCTGACTTACAGGATTACTGAAAGGGCTAAAAGAACTAAAATTGCCAGGCAATGGTGGTTCATGCCTTAAACCCCAGCACTCAGGAGGCAGAGGCAAGTGGATCTCTATGAGTTTGTGGCCAGCCTGGTCTACAAAGACAGTTCCAAGACAACCAGGTCTACACAGAGAAAACCTGTCTCAACCCCTCCCTCCCCCAAAAAGAAAAGAAACATGTGTAGATAGGTCAGGCCCATCTCCACCACTTCTACCTACAACTCCTGGCTTGTTGTCCCTTTGTCACACTCCCTGGATCATTCCACAGCTGCTTCTCTCTTGTCTCAGCTCAGATGTCACTCCTCCAGGATCTTCCCTGAAATTACTCTCCCTCACCCAGCACCATTCTGTGTCACAGTCTTTGCTGGGTGCATTTTCTCCATAACAGTGTGACCTACTTTATCTTACATGTCAGTTTGATTTTGGAATCCACTCAAGTCAACATAGGCCACCTAAGTGAAGCATACTTGTTTTTTTATGTTTATTTTTATTTCGTGTGCATTGGTGTTTACTGCATGTATGTCTGTGTGAGGGTTCCAGATCTCGGAGTTACAGACAGTTTTAAGCTGCCATGTGGGTGCTGGGAATTGAACCTGGGTCCTTTGGAAGAGCAATCAGTGCTCTTAAATGCTGAACCGTCTCTCCAGTCCCGAAGCATACTTCTTTTCTTTTTGTTGTTTTTGTTTTGTTTTTGTTTTTTCCAAGACAGGGTTTCTCTGTGGCTTTGGAGTCTGCCCTGGAACTAGCTCTCGAACTTACAGAAATCTGTCTGATTCTGCCTCCCAAGGGCTGGGATTAAAGGCATGTACCACCAATGATAGATTTTGTTGTTGTTGTTGTTTTTTGTTTTGTTTTGTTTTGTTTTGAGACAGGGTTTCTCTGCAGCTTTGGATGATGTCCTGGAACTTGCTCAGTAGACCAGGCTGGCCTCGAACTTACAAAGATCCACCTGCCTCTGCCTCCTGAGTGCTGGGATTAAAAGCGTGTGCCACCAACGCCCGGCTAAAGCATACTTCTTACATTGTCTTTTTTTATCCCCCAGAACTGTGCATGGCGCAAAAGAGATGTTCAATAAGCAGACATAGAATGGAATCAAACACAGAGATACTGGGCTGGTCAGTGAAATGCCTTTGTTATTGACTCTCTGCCCTTTGACCTCTTACTGTACCCTCTACACAGCTCCAGCCATGCTGACCCTGCCCTCTGGTCTTCCCCAGCCTGCAACAGCGACAGCTATGGCTGCTCTGGTCTGCTGCACGCACAGATATCTAAGAAGCTGTGCAGGAGCCACCACACTCCAGGCAGGCTTTGCATCAGGACTCTAAGCTCCAGCACAACCGACACCTGTCCTTGCCACCACTGCATCCAGCACTATCCCCATACAAAACTGTATTTATAGATCATTGCTCGGTCCCGTTTTAAGAGCCTCAGGATAACGCCACAATTCTTTATTGAGGGTTTCCCGTGTGGCTGGCACTTTGCTGGGTGAAAGCTGTGGACATGCTAAGTGCCCTTCCACCTTCGAGTCCCCAGAGTCATTCCACCTCCCATAGTCATCGTGGCAGTTTCTGTCTGGGCAGGTTGTCATACATGAAGAAAGAGCATTGCACAGTGGTGAAGAGAGCCTTTACCCAGGCTTGAGCTCCAACCCCCGCAATGGTCTGTTCTGTCCTTGCCCTCACCTCTCCAGCATCATGCAAGACAGGTTCTCATCAGCAGAAACTGTAGTTGAGGTTGGGCAATGCCACCAGCTTTCTCCTCCCACCACTGTTTCTGAAAGGATCAGTTTAGATGAAATGAATCCCTGGATGGTCATCAGTCGGCCTGGGACTGCTCTGTCCTGAAGCTCTGTGGTCTACCGGTTGCCACTAGAGGTAGTGTTTCCACTGACAGCAAATAGATGATGCATGGATATGGATTGACAGGCAGACCTTGTCTTCTCCATGCTGCCACCAGTGTCCCATCTGTGTCCCCTCCCTAGCGGGCATTAGGGTTGAGGGGTGTCAGAGGTGCCTGAGGAGGGTCCCACAGCCTCAAGAAGCTTCTGATGCTGCCGAAGGTGCTTTCTCCTTTCGTGCTCTCCAGTGACCTCACACACCAACTGGGCCGGGAAGGCTCCAGGAAGCCCCTTAAGCCAACCTGGGGAAAGAAAAACAGGCTTGTGGGGAGAAGAGGCAGAGATCAGGGGGCTGGGGAAGGAGGCCCTCTGGGGGTCTCAGGTCACAGTGTGTTGGGGATCGGTGGCGAAGCACAGACTGGAACATTCAACTTCAGCTACTACCTCTCCTGGAAGTGACACCAGCATCTAAGAGGGTCTGTGGCAGTTCTGTGTTGGGTCCTGCAATGATTGCTTCTGTTACTCAATCAGAAGAACTTCTGGGCTTGAGAGCTGGCTCAGCGGTTAAGAGAAATCAGTGCTCTTCCAGAGGACCCCGGTGTGATTCTCAGCACCCACATGGTAACCCACAACCATCTGTAATTCTGGTCTCAAGGGATCCAGTGCCTTCTTCTGACCTTGGCAGGTGCCAGGCGTACACAAGTGCACAGATACACATGCAGGCAAAATACTCATACACATAAAATAATAAAACATAAGTCTAGAGAAATAAATCTAAAAACAGAATTCTTGCAAGGGGTTGCAAGAGCATATCTGTTATCGCTGTGACCTCATTTGTTCCCAGCCCCTTTTCTGGGTCAGTCTAGGTACACTTGCCTCCTTACAGCTCCTTTATTGCACAGCAGGTCCTAGGCCTTTGCTTGTGCCTTTCAGCTGGTCCACTCTTCCTACAGACACCGAATACCTACATTGAGCGCCTCTTTCGGGCTCACACACTGCCTCCTAGTGGGGTCTAGCTCACCTAATTATTGGAGATCCTACCAAACCCTAGAACTCCCTCCTTCCTTACTTTATTCTTTCTTCCGTTGCATACATCCCCTTCTAAAATACTGCATAAAATGTATACATATTTATCCCATTAGACTCATTTTGTTTGAGACAGTGTCTTGCTATCTAGTTGTGAACTACACATATGGGCTATAAAAAAAAAGGGTCTCAACCAGGCAGTGGTAGCCCACATCTTTAATCCTAGCACTTGGGAAGCAGAGGCAGGAGATCTCTGTGAGTTCAAGGCCAGCCTACAGAGCGAACGCCTGCACAGCTGTCTTGGAAGGTGCGGATGGCTCTGAACACAGCTCCTGGGAACACTCAGGTGGAGTAAGTAACATTACACAGGACCCTCCCTCATTCTTCTTAGTTGCCATCCTATATCCCCAAGACTCAAAGGACAGCCAGAGCTACACAGAGAAACTCTACTTTGAAAAAAAAAAAAGAAAGGGTCTCATTATGTAATCCAGGCTGGCCTGAAACTCACTGTGTAGACCAGGCTGGCTTTGAACTCACAGAGATCTGATTGCCTGTGCCTCTCAAGTGACAGAGCAGAGATCAACACCAGCACCACCGTGCCTGGCTCACTCAGCCTTCACTGCCTGCTTCCTCTGTTGGAGAGTATACTCCAGGGCTGGGGGTGCAGCTCATTAGTACAGCACTTGCTGCTCACGTGTGAGGCCCTGGACTCGATCGCAGTACTGCAGCATGAACATTATGTGTCCGGCTCATGGTGTTCAAAGAATGTTCGCTGAATGAGCACGTGAAAGGCTCTCTCACCTTCAGGATTCTTGTGTGGATGCTTGCGGGGCACCTTGGAATCCAGGCTTTGCCCCTCCGTCTTGGAAGGTGTGGACGGCTCTGAACACAGCTCCTGGGAACACTCTGGTGGAGTGTGTAACATTACAATGGGACCCTCCCTCTTTACAGCTGCCATTCCACATCCCCCATAAGACTCTCATTTCTTTGCCTCCTCCCTTTGGGAGATACTTACCACAGTCCTCATAGATGGTATCTGGGGAACAGGGAAGAGGACCTGGGGTGGGAAAGGCTCCTAGCCAGCGCTGCATGTCTGACCTAGTGGTGAACACAGGAGGGGGTCCACAGTTGACCCAAGAGACACTCCTGGGGCATGAATAGGGGCCATAGGGGAGAAAGAAGAACAATAGAATATAGAGGTCTGGTGATGGTCCTAAGGGTGGCTTGCCTGCTTGCAAGCTTTGCCAAGGCAGCCCAGGCGGGCCTCAAACTCATGGTCCCTCTGCCTACCTCAGATTATAAAGGTATGCCACCACACTTGCTTGTCTCTTCTGCAGTGCTGGGGGTTGAATCCCCGGTCCCATGCACACTAGGCAAACTCTCTACCACTGAGTCACGTCCCCAGCCCCCAACAGTATTTTCTAGAAACATGACTCACAGTGATGCTGCTTGGAGTAGCCTGTGGGTGGGTCGGCCCTGGTGGTTGCTTAGAAGAGAGAGGCGGAATGTAGGGGGTCCAGATGGGTCAGGAACCTGCTGGGCCTGCACCAGGGAGCGATGGGCATAGTCCAGAACCTGCAACCGCTGCCCACTACCCAGGGAAGAGGGTGTTCAGACGAGAGCAGGCGTGTCCTGCTAGATATCTCTTCCCCACCCCAGCTTGGGCTTCCTCCCCTCCCACACAAGACCCACCTCTTGGGCTGAGTGATAAGCAGAAGATCACTGAAGAGCAGCAGACAGAGAGGAGTGAAGCGGGGACGGGAGTTGAAGAGCACACCGCCCCTCCGACATCCCAACTCTGTCAGTTCCCCCTGCAATTCCAGGCGCCGTGACCAGGAGACCAGGGGTAGAGCCTGAGAGGAAAGAGAGAAGGGTTTAGCCTTGCACCATGGTGAGGAAAGGCAAGATGGAGAGTCTGGGCGAGACCAACCTTGACCTTGTGGAAGCGCAACCTTTGGGTGAGTCGGATCAGCTCTTCTGTCTGCTTCATGCGCCCCACCTCAGCGCTGCAGCGCTCAATGATCTGGTGAGGGGAATCGAGTCATCCATTCCAGCAGCCACCTGTCCCCTTCCACTTCCCCGTTACCACTTGGCACCTCAGCCCTCCTCAGCTTCCATCCTGCCCACCTTGCTCACAGCACCAAGGGCCTTCTGGGCATTCTCCTGGCGACTGGACCCCTCCTCTGTCTGGCCTAGGATATTCTGGAAACAAAGGGAAAGGGTGACTGAGATCCTCCCTTCCCCTGAGATGCTGAGGTGCTGTGGATCCTGCCACATGTTCCGTTTAGGGTTCACAGGGCCCCCAAGAAAACCCTCAGCAAGGTCATGAGACCTACCAGCTGCCAGAGGCTGAGCAAGTCTTACTGCTAACTGCTCAGAGCCTCACTTTCACCGTTTATAAGATGGAGCTGACATCTACTTAGCACATTAATAATATTGTGAGGATTTGAGGTGATATGTAAAGAGGATTCAGCATAGTCCTTGGCACACCATAAATACTGGGGGGAGGGTCTATTTTTTCCTAATAATTACTAGCCTAACAATACAGCAGGGCAGTTAGAAATGGCTGGATTCCCATTTATTTCATTTTTAGTGTGTATGTTTTTCTGAGATTGCATTTTTGCTAAGCAGCCCTGCCTGGCAGCCTTGAACTCTGAATCCTTCTATCCACCCTCTGGAATGCTGGGATTACATGTGTGCACCACCACACCTGGCTCCATCCATTACTTTTGCATGGCCCAGGTCAAGTTATGCAAACTGTACCTAGTATCCTCCTTTATAACATCATGTAAACAATGGTTCCTGTTCTCACACATTTGTCCCTGGGTTTATACAGGTGTAGAACACTTAGAACTGGGCCTTGAACAGCACTCTCAGCAATCATTGAGTTAGTATGGTGTCATTGTTATCATGTTGTTTACATGGAGGTCAAAAAAGCTAAATAAAACTTAAGGAAGTTGGGTTAGAAGTCAATGGTAGGGTGCTTGCTTAGCATGAGTGAGGAGGCATCAATTTGATCCTCCGATACACACATACACACACACACACACACACACACACACACTAAATTAAAAAAGAAGATAGTCTGTACACACCTGTTATTCCAACACTCAAGAAGCTGAGGCAGAAGACTGCAAGTTTGAGGCTGTCCTGAGCTGCATAGTAAGTTCTAAAAAAAACAACAAAAACAAACAAACAAACCAACAACAAAAAACAGAGCCAACTATCTGAAAACAAAAAGAAAAAATAGTAGTAGCAGCATCTAGCTGGACACTCTTCACGTTAAGATTCCAATACTGGGGCTGGACAGATGGCTCAAAGGTTAAGAGCACTGACTGCTCTTCCAGAGGTCTTGAGTTCAATTCCCAGCAACCACATGGTGGCTCACAACTGTCTATCATGAGATTCGGTGCCCTTTTCTGGCATGCAGGAATACATGGAGGCAGAATGTTGTACATATAATAAATAAATCTTTAAAAAAAAAAGATTCCAATACTGGGGGAATGGAGAGATGGCTTAGAGGTTAAGAGCACTGGCTGTTCTTCCAGGACCTGGGTTCAATTCCCAGCAACCACATGATAGCTCACAACTGTCTGTAACTCAGTTCCAGGGATTCTGATATACATATACATAGATGCAGGCAAAACACCAGTGCACATAAAATAAAAATAAAGAAACTTAAAGAAAAGATTCCAATACTGGGCTGGAGAGATGGTTCAGAACTTAAGAACACTGGCTGTTCTTCCAGAGGTCCTGAGTTCAATTCCCAGCAACCAACAGTGGCTCACAACCATCTATAATGGGATCTGGTGCATATAGAGTACTCGTACACATAAAATAAAGAAATAAATCTTCAAAAAAAAAGATGAACAAATAAAAAGAGTTCGAATACTTCCAAGCATGGAGGTGCACACCTTTAATACCAGCGCTCTAGAGGTGCAGGCAAGCAGATCTCTGGGAGTCAGGCTAGCCTGGGATACATAGCAAACCAGCCATAACTACACAGTAAGATTCTGTATAAAAAAGAAAATTCCAGTACTGGGGGGATGAAGCAATGGCTCTGCAGGTAACAGCACTCAGTGCTCTTTCAGAGGACCCACATCCACATGGTAGCTCACAACCGCCTCTAATTCCAGAGAATTCAATTCCCTTTTCTAGCCTCCACAGGCAAAACACACATAAAATCAAAACATACAAATCTTTTTAAAAATTCTAATACGAAAGCCGTACATTGGTGGTGCACGCCTTTAATCCCACCACTCGGGAGGCAGAGGCAGGAGGATCTCTGTGAGTTCGAGACCAGCCTGGACTACCAAGCGAGTTCCAGGACAGCCTCTAAAGCCACAGAGAAACCCTGTCTCGAAAAAACAAAAAACAAAAAAACTCTAATATGAGGTAACTTAGTCAAAGGGGAGTCTATACGAAAAAGTATTTCTTGTACTCGCTTCAGCAGCACATATACTAAAACTGGAACGATACAGAGAAGATCAGCATGCCCCTGCGCAAGGATGAAACGCAAATTCCTGAAGCGTTCCATATTTTTTTGAACACATTTCAACAGTTCAACTTTATAACAGTTATAAATAAACCTGTTAAAATTTTCTGGACAATGCCAGCATTTGGATTTTTTAAAAATAAGTAAAAATGTCTTATTGATGGCAACTAAGTGGTGTTTGTAGCATATTTATCATACAGTAGATTCCATCCATTCACTGTACTTTCCTAACTGAGTTGTCCTACATGCAAGTACATGTTTTTAATGTTGTCTGTCTTCTGTGCTTTTCCTGTAAGTTTGCTATTAAAATACATTAAACTAAAAAAAAAAAAAAAAGAAAAGTATTTCTCTGGCTCATGAGGTAACAGCTTTTGTGGAACTTACACAGAGGAATTGGGAACTAACTCCTGCAATGTGTCCTAGGATGGTTCAGTGAGGAAAAGCATTATGCAGCCAAGCCTAAAGACCCGAATTTGATCCATAGGACCCAGGTGATGAAAAAAGCAAATTGACTTCTGCAAGTTGTCCTCGGACTTCCGTATTACACACCAACACATACATACACACCATGCACACACAAATAGATGTAAAAGAAGTGTTTTGTAAAACCTCCATTTTTTCCCTCAGTATTATTCCACTAAGGAACTTTTTCATTTCTTTAAATTTGATTTAGTTACTTGCACTGAAGATTATATCCGAGGCCTTGTCCAGTACTCCCTAGGCAAGCTGTCTACTACTAAGCTACAGTGCTCAGCCCTGCCCTACAGCCACCATAAAAACTGAATTTTATACACTATAAATCTGCGTATTCACCATGGAATACTGTGTACTCATACCCGAAAGCTAAGGTTTATTTCTTCATTTCTCCCCCAAAACCACTCTTTATCCATCTGGAGATCTCAACTAGTTAGAGGCTGAGCCAAAGAAAGTCTAGAAGGCTCTGTCTTCCCCCTGAGGCATTTAGGGAGCTGAGGTTGGAAGATTTTGCCCTGAGAAAATGTCTGTGGTCACGGTGGGATAGGAAATGGTGGTATCTAGACCAGAGGCCTTGGAGAGAATTTCCATGGCAGGGTGGGTGGGAGGAGTCAGGCATTAAGCAGGACAGTACCTGCAGCAACATCCGGAGCCGGGTGATACGCTGGAAGGGCAGGAGCAGGAAAGATGGCAGTGGGAGCCGCTCACATTTGGGGAGGCTCTGCAGCCTTCGCAGCTCCGCAGAGAAGCGCACGTTAGTGTCCCTATAAAGAAAGCCCAGGTGCCTAAGGGGTTCCCTCAAGCAGGGAGGGTCCTGAATCCTGGCCTCAGCCTTAACATGACTTCACAGGTTCCTCCAACTCTGGGATACAGAAGTCCCCTTCTCTGTAGTTTTGCTTTCATAATTTCAATTACCCAATGTCATTAAATGGAACGTTCCAGAAACAAACAATTCATACATTTTCAAGTGAGTGCCTTTTTCTGACTAGCAATGATGAACTCTCAAGATGCCCCACCCATCTCCCCTGGAACACTAATATAATCCCTCTGTCCAGTGTTCTCATATTTATATACCACCCACCCTTCAATCACAGATAGCTGACGTGCTGGTGTCGTAGAGCTGTGGCTACGTCATCCTTAATTTATTTACTAATGTCTACAAGGTGCAAGAGTAGCAATGCTGACAGTTTTATTACATTATATTGCTCAGATTTTTCTGTTTTATTATTAGCCATTGTTAATCAGTTACTGGGCATAATTCGTAAGTCACTTTCTTAGATATGAACGTATAAGGTTTAGTACTATCCACCAGTGGTCTTGATACACATTCCCAGGGAGAAAGGAGGAAACCACAGTACTCACATAAGGCGGCTGTATGTCTCCTCCTGATACTGCTGGTTCCGTACATAATCCACATACACTGAGAAAGGACCAACTGCATGGGCATGTACCACATCACACAGGTCACTGATGTGTGGGGAAGAACGAACACGGGACAGTAATGTTCCTAGAAACCTGAAAACATAAAGGAAGCAATTAATGGAGGGACAGAAAGTCTGGTTTTCCAAGGTTTTCAGGAGAGTACTGAAAACTAACTCCATGGAAGGAAAAACCTAGAAGAGGGAGAAGCCCATGGCCCACATTCCTAGGGCCCCACTGACCGCTCACTGACACCCTGGACTCGCTGCACGTTGGAGAAAAGTGTGTGGTGATCCCGAGGAGTGAGCGTGTCCCGGAGAGCTCGGCTTAGTACGAAGGTGTCGGTCAGTAGCCTCAGGGAGCGTAGGTAGGAGGCCTCTGAGGTCACCACTTCAAAGAGGCTCTAGACAGGAGAACAGGGTCACAGTAGAAAGACCAGCCACCTCACAAGCAGCCCAGGACTCAGGTCGATACTTCCTCTATCTCCTATTCCAGCCTTCTCAGTCCCACCGTGGGGTACCCACCTCCTGCATGCGCCTTTCCTGGGGGCTTAGGCTCTCTAAGAGACCACTTGCTCGCACAGCTGGAAGCTCCTGCCACAGAGTGTTTCGAGGTCCAGGGAGCCTGGAGAAGGTGGGAGCTTCTCCGGGGTTAGCCGGAGAGGGGCCCCCATCCTCACCCACACCCCACAGCTCCTCTGACAGCACAGCTGCTCTGTACGTCTGGTACAAAGGTTCTGGAAGGTAGACAGAGAACATCAGGGAGGTCCGGGGCCCAGAACCCTTCCATCCTGCCTGTCACAGGAGAGACCTACCGTCCTGCAGCGGCAGCTCCCACTGCTGCTCCTTCAACAACTCCAACCCTTCCTCATCTCTGTGGAGCAAGAAAAGAAGTGTGAGGTCCATTCTGTGGGTGTAGTTCACATGATACCAGAAGAGAGAGGTGCAGAACTCCTGTGAACCGTGTATGGAGGGATCCTGACAGCTCCTCAGCAAACCCAGACATTCCTACGTGCTATGCCTTTGGAGGGGAGGCCCTGGGCAAATCAGGCTCCAAACATTCCTGCTCTCAGCTTCTGTGTTGTAGATAGTTCCAAGTCCCTCCTTCCAGCCCCCTCACACAGGAGCATTGTCTAGATCTTTGTGACTTGGTGAAACTCAAGCTCCCTGTCTGCCCTCTCCTAGTTACCAGCCATTTTCTCAAGCTAAAAACTGCTGTAGTCAATAAATAAATGAATATACCTGGATTATTACTTCTAATAAGAAAAAAATAATCTAAATGATTAGCAAGGCTAGAAAGCATAAGAGATGGCCCCGGCGTTGGTGGCGCACGCCTTTAATCCCAGCACTCGGGAGGCAGAGGCAGGCGGATCTCTGTGAGTTCGAGACCAGCCTGGACTACCAATCGAGTTCCAGGACAGCCTCCAAAGCCACAGAGAAACCCTGTCTCGAAAAACCAAAAAAAAAAAAAAGAAAAGAAATAATTTTAATACACTCCCAAGCTAAAATAACTAAAGCAGAGTTTGGCCCTGCCTTTGGTTTTTTTGTTTGCTTGTTTGTTGCTTTGTTGTTGTTTTGAAAATGAACTGTGATATGTATCCCAGGCTGGTCTTGACTCCTGATTTTCCTGCCTCAGTTTGCAGGAATTATATATAGCATGTACCACTAAGCCTAACTGGAGCCCAGATTTTTTGCAATATTATTCCTCAATAACCCCATGGAACAGAGTCAAGCTTATTTCTATTTCTTAGAGAAAGACTCTGAGACCAGAAAAAGAGGATTTATTTAAGGTTGCATAACTAATATGGAACAGAGATCACATTAGAAACCTGGGCCCCTTGTGTCTGGAACTCTGACCTTTCCCCCTCTGCGGGAATACGGTAGCATTCATTGGGACTTGAAAGTTAGTCTGTCTGCCTTTGCATGAGAGCATGGTGAGGTGAGGAGAAAAGAGGGGAACACAGGTGGAGAGTTCGGTACCTTCCCTCCAGGACTGCAGGAGGAGCATTCTGAGGCACTTCTTCAGGCCTGTCCCCTGGAGAGAGAAGCCAGAGTGACCAGAGCTAATCTCCAAGACCCCCAGCCCAAGACGCTGAGCCCGAGGCCCAGCCCCAGTGAAGACTGATGCCAAGACTACCATTCCCCTCAACTCCCGAGCAGCAGCTGGGAGAAAAACGAAAAGTCCTGGGTTGGTGGGGTTATAACTGGCCACTCAGCACCCACCCGGTGCCCTCAAAACCCGGTGCTCCTATGACTCCTCTCCCCACCTTCCGTATCCTTAATTCCCTTGCCTTCTACCTGTTTGGATCCCATCTTCTGAAGGCAATTCCGGGTCCGGCTGTGGAAGCTCCCCAGAGGTGCTGGTTTCCTGCCTAACTCGAGTTGGTTTGGGGGGCTTGAGGGGAGGTAAGAGTTTGCGCTCAGCAGTGGAACGATAAGATGTAAGGACAACTGGAGGGTGACTGATGACAGGTGGGTTGATGCGGGAGCGGGAGGCTCGCAGTGGGGATGCCCGGCAGGGGGCCCTGAGGATGTCATCAGAACTCCCCACGGGCACCCATCGGAGCTCCAAGCCAGGCTTCGCTACATGGCAGACACAGGGGCAGCATGGGGGGCAGGCCAGGGCAGCATCTGTGACAGAAGGGGTTGTCGAAGGAAGTTCTTGGGGCCTGACCCATCCCATCTGAGCTTCTCCCCCCACATAAAGGAGCAACCCCAGGTATCTGTAGACCTCATCCACCCTGTCTGCAAACTCTAAGAAACACAGAAAACAGGTTTTTTCAAACACAAAATCTACATTAGAAATGCTAGCTAGCCCTTTAAAGTGCCCAGTTTTCAAGAACTCAGCTGCACCATATGCTTACCTGGAGTGCCATTCTCCTGGGACCCATTCCCGGAAAGGACGGCTTGGGGAGTCTCTCTCTCCCCGTTTACATCCGTGCCCCCTTGGGAGCATCGCTCCAGGGAGTCTGAGGACTGGGCTTTGCCTTCAGCCCCCCATTCAAACTTGCCGGCCAGTCTACGAACCGTGCCAGGGGCCGAGGCAGAGCCATCCTGGAGAGGCAAAGGGAGCGAGGGTAGAGGTGTTCCGGGAGACCCAGAGGGCTTGGGTGGGGGCACTGGAGAGCAGGGAGCTGGCTCTGGGGAGACAGAACGCCGGGACACGGGGCTGGGACTGGGTGTGCTGGCAGGAGAGTCAGGAGAAGTCTGAGAGTCCAGGCTGGTTCTAGAAACTGAGGGGAGCAGAAGAGCAGGGGGCTTCAGGGAAGACGTGGGGGGCTCCCAGAAGATGGAGGTGCACATTGAGGCTGATGCATCATTGGGAATCTGAGGAAGTGACTTCGAAGAGGAGCCATTGTGGGGAGGCCCCGGGGAGTGTGGAGCCCGATGGCGAGAAGGGGGCGGGGGCGGAGGATCCGAGGGGGCTTCAGGGTAGGGGGCGTTGCTGCAGGAAGGGACTGGGCTGACATCGTCTTCTGAGTGTTTCCAAGGAGGGAGGTGTTCTGTGGAAGTCATCCCCTGAGGAGGGTGGAGGGAGAAAGTGCCCCTCAGTATCTCCCTGGTGGGTAGACTGAGGAAGTCTGAAACTTACGTTTTTGAGTCAGGAGAGAACATTGGTACACTTCCCTCCCTTCCTCCTCGTCATACTGTCTTTCTTCACCTCTCACCTCTGCTCATCCCACCCCTGGACCCTCCTGGGCAGCTTCCTCTTTCAAGATCCTCCTGCCTCAACCTTCAGTGTGCTGGTATTACAGGCTTGTGCTGCCCTGGCCAGCCTCTCTATGCTTTGACTTTTACTGCATCAGGCCAGACGACACAGTGGGCCTAAGAACAAGCTGTTGGGGAGGACGGGAAGGCAAGGGTAGCAGAGAATCAGTAAGATGCCGTGAAAGGAGCTCAGCTTGCTGGGACAGTCACTGTGAGGAGTTTTCGTGAGTGGGTGTGCACTGTTATCTAGTGCTGAATGAGTGAGAGTTGAGTGTGCCCGGGCAAAGAGTGGGGTCAACGGTGGCTGTCACAGAAACCCCAAAGACTGTGTGGTGTGAGTACAGTGTACACGATCTCTGCTATCTGGGTAAAGCAAGTGTGTAGAGTGTGTGTGTACACACACAGTCACACACACACAGTCACACACGTGCAAGCCAGTGCCTGAGCTGAGAGATGTATCACCGTTTCCCTGCTCTGACTGCCCCTCCCCCTCCCATTTCCCAGTTCCTCTCTCCGGACTCTCCCTTTCCGGATTATTTTTAGTCTCCTTTTCCTGCCATGAAGATTCCTGGCGCCTCTGACACAGGAGACCAGGGGTCCCAGCCGGGTCTCCTCTGCCCCCATCCTCTTATCCTTGCCACACCTGGGTCTGGCCACAGAGAGAAGCCCTAGTGGAAGGCTGGGTCCTGCCGGGAAGCCTGGGAGGTGGCCACCAGCCCGGGCCAAAGCGTAGACCCAACAGCACTGGGACCCAGGACCTGTGCTTCTCCTCTTGACAAGGAGGATGCGGACCAGAGCTGGGACACAAGAGAGCCCCTAAATTCCCTGTATGATCAGAAGTCACAGCCTTCCAGGTCCCGAGGGAGGTTCTTGAGAGAAGATGGGCATCGGGGAACCCCTTAGATTGCAGCTCATTCAGCGGTCCCTACATGCTGCCTCGAAGCCCCTCACCGAGGTAACCCAAGCAGTGGTCTCCTGCTCCCCAGCCTTTACCCGTTCGGGGAACTCACTCTCCCCCATCCCAGGTACCTGCTTTTACTTCCTTCCCCACTCCCTGCTCAAGCCTTTTACAGGGCTGAGATAGTTGGGGGGCCCCATGCACTTACCCTCCAGTTCCCTCCACTCTCAGTCACCTCCTAGGGCTGAGTGAGTTGGGGCAGGAAACAGGAATCCGATCCTCCTCCCAACCGGACACCCCCCCACCAACCACACCACGCTCCACATGCGCACACTGGGCCTAGAGGATGTGAGGAATCCGGCATCTAAGGTGTTGAAGTTAGAAAAGGCTGGAACTCAGGTATGGAGAGAGAGCACTTTGTGTGCACCCTCTCACCTGGACCGCTGCGTGGCTGGCAGGGGTTCCAGTGAGAATGGGGTGGCCCTGGCAAGCTTGGCTCGTAGTACTACATGCCCATCCTCATACCTCCCTCTCAGCTATGGGGTGTCTGGCCATTGCTCTACCACTTACACAACTGTCTGTCTCCCCAACTTCCAACCTACTGCCTAGGTGTGAGCCAACCACACTTCGTACCGAGGGACCCTCTCTTCTCCCCGCTCCCATCTGCAGAGCCACCCCCCCATCAGGAATTTACCTTTATGGTTTGGGGGTAATTTCTGTTTTCAGCCTATCTTCCTGCCCCCTTGGAGCACCAAATGTTGCCCAACGTCTCCAAATAAATGTCCCTGCTTCTCTGGGGCGGGAACTGAAGGTCCAGATTTCCATCTCCACAGAGGAAGCCAGTTCCTCGGCCCCACCCAGCCATTGTGTCAGGCCAGGGGTGGGAGTGTGGAGGGAGGTGGGGAAGGGGATCTTCCAGATTCACAGGGTGACCTGTTGCTCACCGTTCTGCATTCCCAGTTTCTCCTCTGACTCCCTGTCCCACTGGGAAGTTTCCACAGGGGTTGGTCTAGAAGTAGTCATGCCTGGGAGCAGGACGGGTTGTGGAGTGCCCCCCACCACACACTTTAATTTGCTTTCTGATTGGGAAACTGAGTTCCCAGGGCTGGAAGTGTGTGATAAAAACAGCTGAAAGGGGTGGAGTGAACCACACCCAAGCCTGGGAAGGAAACTAGTTGAAGTTGCAGGGACTGATCAAGAGAGGTCCCCATCGAATGTCATTGGCATGGGCACACATCCATAAATAAATACCAAGCCAGACTCTGAGAAGTGGATCCAGTAAACTAGTATCCAAAGGTGTTTTAAACTCCTTTTTGCTCAATGTCTGCAACCTACCCTGTTCCCTAACTTCCCCCTTCAGGCCTGCTCCTAACTAAGGATCTACAGAGTTGTGCATGATGCCTGGAAATCTTCCCAAGAAATCTCCGTGAAGCATTCCTTCACCTCCTTCTGGCAGCTGGAAGAAACCCTCTCAAAGACGTCTGCCTGGCCACTCTAAAATTTCAATCCATTGGGCTATGTGGTGAGGCCTTGCTTCAGGGAAAAAAAAAGAAGAAAAGGGAATCCAGGTTGAAGGTGTGGACTAGCAGGTAGCTTGACCTCCTGTCAAGCATTTTATGAGGCTCTGAGTTCCATCTGAGTGTTACAAAGGGAAAAAAAATAAGGAAACCGATTAAGGGAACTAGAGAGATGGCTTAGTGGTTAAGAGCTCTTCCTATGTTCAGTTCCCAACAATTCATGGCTCACCTATAACTCCTGCCACAAAGAATCCCAAAGACACCCTCATCTAGCCTTTAAGGGCACCCACACACTACATACATACACATAGACACACACACACATGCACAGAAATAAAAATAACCATTAAAAACAAACAAACAAACAAAAGAGATACAACTCAGCAGTTAAGAGCACTGACTGCTCTTACAGAAAACGTAGGGTTCGATTCTCAGTACCCAGGTGGCAGTTCATAACTGTCCATAACTCCAGAATCCAACACACGCACACAGACATACATGCAGGCGAAATACGAATGCACATAAAAATAAAAATAAATTACTGAAGATAAAAGAAGAAGAAAGTTAAGGGCAGGAAGATCAGCTAAAGCACACACTGCTGTCCCAGAGGATGCAGGCTCAGTTCTCAGAACCCACACTGAGCAGCTTACATCTGCCTGCATCTCCAGCTTCTGGGGGATCTACCACCTCTGGCCTCCACAGGCGCCTGTACTCACATGCACATATTCGTAAAAAAAAGTACGGACACACATGCTTGTACATACAATTAAAAATAAAATGTTTTTCAAAAAGGAAGTTAGACCGGGCGTTGGTGGTGCACACCTTTAGTCCCAGCACTCGGGAGGCAGAGTCAGGCGGATCTCTGTGAGTTCGAGGCCAGCCTGGTCTACAGATCGAGTTCCAAGACAGCCTCCAAAATAATACAGAGAAACCCTGTCTCGAAATACCATATATATATTAATATATATTATATTAATTAAAGTAAAAGAAGAAAAATAAATTTCTATCCACTATACCATTCCATATTCCCATGCTTCCTTTGTGTGTTACATGTGTATTTTTGTGTGTTTGCACATGTGCGAGTTTGCATGGGTTCATATGCATGTGGGTGCACATGTGATTAGAAGTCAGAGGTTAACATGGGTGTCTTCCTTGATGGCTCACCACCTTATATATATTGAAACAAGGCCTCTCACTAACACCTGGGACCTGCTAATTCAACTAGTTCAGCTAGCCAGTTTACCTGAGAGGCCTCTGGGATTACTTGGCATTCGTGTTGATCTAAAGCCAAGTCCTCATATTTGTGCATCAAGTAGTTCCCCCTTGAATCATCTCTCAGTCCCAACATTCCTTCCTTCCATGGCAATCCTACTGGACCACCCCACATGCTGTATTTACACACTGTGTTATACTTACAGTGAATCCTCTCTTTATATTTAGAAAGTATTTCCTTAGTAATATAATGTACCTGAAAGCTCTGAAGCTAGGTCAAGTATACAATTGCTATTCAACAGAAACTTAATTTTTATTTTATTTTTTTTGTTTTTTGTTTTTCGAGACAGGACCTAGAGATGGGGGCTGGGTGAGTGCTTGGCTTTAGGGTGTGGTCTAAAGAGAAACTAATGTACTCAACATACATCATAGATACACTGTGAAGAGCAAGGAATAGAGAAAAAATACACTGTGGTGAAGACTCATTTCTACTTAGATCACCAAATGGTAAGCAGCTGCCTGGCACAGTGGTACGTGTCTGCAGTAGTTACAGCTAAACATTTGGGAGGCTGGGATAGAAGGATTGCCTGAGCCCAGGAGTTCAGGACCAGACTGGGCAACCTAGAGAGACCCTTCTCTCAAAAAACACAACAAAACCGGGTGTTGGTGGCACACACCTTTAGTCCCAGCACTCGGGAGGCAGAGGCAGGCGGATCTCTGTGAGTTCGAGACCAGCCTGGTCTATAGAGTGAGTTCCAAGACAGCCAGAACTGCTTCAAAGAGAAACCCTGTCTCCAAAAATCAAAAAAGAAAAAAGAAAACTAGACACTTATGTAGCCAAATAAGTCATGAGTTCATTTATTTTGACTGAAATGTTAGGGGGTTTTGTTTTGGTTTTTGTTTGTTTCTTTGTTTATTTGAAGGTGAGTTTATTGTTTTGCTTTTAATTTTGCTGCTTATTAAAGTAACATTGTAAAGGTAACTATTGTAGTACCAGGGAGCTTAGGCAGAAAGATGATGTCCAACTGCCACTAGGTGGAGTCTGAGCATTCCAGTGTCTCACTGACAGCCAAAATGAACCCATCCAGGCAGAGCTGTAGAAGAAAGCCCCATGCCTTGGAAGACATTGTACCTTCCTCTGTGGTACCATGGCTTTCTTAGTGGCATCTGGGACCTTTATGCTCCCTCTCCAACTCTTCTCAAATCTGTTAAAGGACTTTGAGGAGAAAGTAAACCTTTTACAATAAACAAGAGAGCATGACAGGGCTGGAAAGATGGCTCAGTGGTTAAAGCTCTTCCTTCTCTTGCAGAGGACCGAGATTCAGTTCCCAGAACCCACATGGTGGCTCACAAAATCCCTGTAACTCCAGTTCCAGGAAATCCAATGCCTCTTTGGATCCTCAGGGCCACGAGCCATGAATGTGGTGCAAATACATAAATGAAGGTAAAACACTCGTATACATAAAAACCATTTCTCAAAGCTGTGGTGGTGCATGCCTTTAATCCCAGCACTTGGGAAACTGACACAGGTGGAACTCTGTGAGTTCCAGGCCAGCCTGGTCTACGAAGTGAGTTCCAGGACAGCCAGAGATGCACAGGGAAACTTTTCTTTTTTCCGAGACAGGGTTTCTCTGTGGCTTTGGAGACTGTCCTGAAACTCGCTCTGTAGACCAGGCTGGCCTCGAACTCACAGAGATCCGCCTGCCTCTGCCTCCCGAGTGCTGGGATTAAAGGCGTGCGCCATCAACGCCCGGCGTGTTGTTGTTTTTTTAAGACAGAGTTTCTTTGTAACCCTGGCTTTCCTGGAACTCACTCTACAGACCAGGCTGGCACTGAACACAGAGATCTGCCTGCCTTGCCGGGCGGTGGTGGTGCATGCCTTTAATCCCAGCACACGGGAGGCAGGGACAGGCGGATCTCTGTGAGGTTGAGGCCAGGCTGGACCGACAGCCTCTGAAACAATACAGAGAAACCCAAACCCTGTCTCGTAAAAACCAAAAAAAAAAAAAAAAAAAAAAAAAAAAGAGATCTGCCTGCACTACCTTCTAAGTGCCTACTACAGGAGAGCCAGTTTTAATTTTCTGCATTCACATGGAAGCTCACAAGCCATCCATAATTCCAATCCTAGGAACACCTAATGCTCCCTTCTGGCATCTGCTAGCACTGCATGCACATGTGAACATATATAAACATGAATAAATAATAAAATAAGTATTTTTTAAAATAGAGGAGCTTTAGAGATGGCTCAGCGGTTAAGAGCACTGGCTGCTCTTCCAGAAGACCCAGGTTCAATTCCAAGCACCCATATAGCTAACAACTGTCTGTAACTCGAAGACCTCACACCCGGAGATGCATGCATGCAAAACACCAAATGCAAACAAAATAACAATAAATAATTAACAAATAGATGGATAGATAAATAGAATAAAATGCAAATAAACAAAAGGAGGAGAGCTCTATTCCTCCCCTCCATAAAAATGGAACACCTACAGTGAATTCTTCTATATGGGATACAAACAAAAACAAATTGTGACACATCAACACCATGGGATACTATTTAACTGATAAAAAGAAATGAATTATCGGCCGGGCGTTGGTGGCGCATGCCTTTAATCCCAGCACTTGGGAGGCAGAGGCAGGCGGATCTCTGTGAGTTCCAGGCCAGCCTGGTCTACAAGAGCTAGTTCCAGGACAGCCTCCAAAACAATACAGAGAAACCCTGTCTCGAAAAACCAAAAAAAAAAAAAAAAAAAAAAAAAAAAAAAAGAAATGGATTATCAGACAAGTATGGCAGTGTAGAAGCTGAGGCAGGAGGATCTCCAGTTCAAGGACAGTCTTAACTATATAGTAATACTATCTCAAAAACAAACAAAAAATGGTATATCTAACTACAAAAGTTATGAATGAAGTTGGGCATGGTGGTGCACATCTTTAATCCCAGCACTTGGGAGGCAGAGACAGGTGGATCTCTGTAAGTTCAAGGCCAGCCTGGTCTACATAATGAGTTCCAGGATAGCCAGAACTATATGGAAAGAACTCTATCAGTAATAATAATGATAATGACAATATTAATTATAGATGAAAATTAAGCACACATTTTCTAAATCAAAGAAGCCTATCTAGGCCAGACATGGTAGCCATGCTTGTAATCCTAGCCCCATATAGCAGAAGACTTCCAAGTTCTAGGTCAGCCTGGGTGAAAGGGGTAAACTAAACTCAAGGGCTTCACTTTTAATAATTTAGAAATAAAGGGACCAAACCCTCACTCAGCCCCCTGCTTTAGCAGCCATGACAGGCTACAGAAAAGACTCGTATGCCTCTGACACAGGGAAACTTCCAGATCCTCTGGCCTCCCGGAGGCTAGGGCCAAAACTGAACACAAAGAAACTCCAGATCCCCCCTTCCCTGTACCCTCCCTCCCCCGCAGCCTCCTAGATACTTGGTTCCTGGGAACTGTTTGGCCACAAACCTCCCCTGTACTCTCCAGGATACAGTTCTGAAAACTATTGGTATCTATATACAATAGACCACCTGCAAGTAACAAGACAATGCCATAGAAACCACAGAATGTTCCCTCTCAACACTGACCAATGAAAATAATTGGTACACAGGTATCTCATGCCAAAATATGACTTTGAGAAATTCTCCTGATTGTTCCCAAATGTCAACCAATCAGAAACCAACCCATACCTACTGATGTAATGCTGTAACTTTTGCCTATAAAACCTAGCAGTAGACAGGAAACTTCACTCTCTCTGGAGGCTGCTGCATCAGCTTGCTAGACAGGGGTTCCTGTCATGGTTGGATGAACAATCATTAAACCTTGCTTTTGCAGTTTAATGGGTCTGTCTTCCTGGTGGTCTCTGGGGACTTTGCAACTTGGGCACAACATTGGGCTGCATGAGATTCTGTCTCAAAACAATAAACAATAAAAATCATAAGTAGTAAATGAAAGATACATACATATACACACAAACACACACACACACACACACACACTAGCTCCAAAAGACAAAGGCATAATAAATTGATTAATAAAATCAAACATGTTAGTCTTTAACTCAAAATATAAAACAAATACCCATGAGTTCTGAAGGATATCAGTAATTAATGTGTAAATAAGTAAATAAATGTGTTATTTGGGACAAATATCCCATACAGAAGAATTCGATATAGGTATTCTATTTTCATGGAGGGGAGAAATGGCTCTCCCGTTTTTTGTTTGTTTGTTTGTTTGAGACAGGGTTTCTCTGTGGCTTTGGGGGCTGTCCTGGAACTAGCTCTTGTAGACCAGGCTGGTCTCCAACTCACAGAGATCCACCTGCCTCTGCCTCCTGAGTGCTGGGATTAAAGGTGTGCGCTACCAATGCGCCAGCTTATTTATTTTGTTATTTAAAAGATTTATTTTTATGGCCGGCCAGTACTTGGGAGGTAGAAGCAACCAAAACTCTGTGAATTGAGACCAATCGAGTCTAGTTCTAGGCCAGCCAGGGCTACATAGTGAGACCCTATCTATAAATAAATAAACAAATAGCAGTGAATTATATCAGGGATGGAGAGATAGCTCTGGGGTTAAGAGCCTGCTTACAGACTACATAGTAGCAGGACCCTGCCCCTGTCACCTGGCAGGATGCACTCAGGCAGTACCCTGGTCAGGCCAAGGTTCCATGACAGCTACATCACTACACAGGTGCAAAAGACCCCTTTAAAAGAAAAACCTTCAGTCAGTCGATGGTGGCCCATGCCTTTAATCCCAGCACTGGGGATGTAGATCAAGGCCCGCCTGCTCTACAAAACTACACAGAGAAACCCTGTCTTGAAAAATAAAAAATAAAAAAAAGAAAGGAAAAAAGGAAAAGAAAAAAAACTCTGCCCACTTCTGCTCTTTTCTCACTGTTCCCCTGAAGGGATAGACAAGACTTTTCATGTCCTCCTATTCTGTCTCTGTCTCTACCTCTTTTCTCTTTCCTTCCCCCCTGCCTTCCCTTTCTATTAAAACTTCTCAGTTAAGCTCTGTCTGCCTCACATGTTTGTCCCTTGCCGCCATAGAATCCGCCAAGGTCCCCCACGAACATTATTATAACACTCAATATCTTTATAATTTCTGTGCAATGTTCAGAAAATTAAAATTAAGATGTCCAGATTTTTAAGATTACTCTTAAAAAAATAACACCTTAAAATGTGTCGATCTCAGCCGGGCGTTGGTGGCGCACGCCTTTAATCCCAGCACTCGGGAGGCAGAGGCAGGTGGATCTCTGTGAGTTCGAGGCCAGCCTGGTCTACAGAGTGAGTTCCAGGACAGCCTCCAAAGCCACAGAGAAACCCTGTCTCGAAAAACCAAAAAAAAAAAAAAAAAAAAAAAAAAAAAATGTGTCGATCTCCAGGGCATCCGGCAATAAAGATACGAGGTGCAAGCCAGTAATTTGCAATCTTTAACACCCAGGGGATTGGATGAAAGACAGATGGACAGGGTTCTACCTGCAGACCTTCTTTCTGATTCAGAGGATTTCCAGCGAGGCTAGATGTATTTCTAAGTTCCCAGGTATTGCTGCTGCTATAGGACCACACTTTTAAGAACCACAGGGTTCAAACTCAGGATGTGAAACTAAGTGTGGTGTCACCCTGTCACTCAGTATGGCAGCAGACCCGAAACTGAGGCAAAGGAGATGTCGAGTTTGAGGCCCCAGTAGGCTACACACAGCAAGGCTGTCTCACAAACAACAATTTATACGACTCAGATCCGGCCCCCAGGGATCCTAGGAACTCACAGACTAGTGCAGCAGGGAAATTAACAACCGCTAAATGAGAGCCGTGGGTGCATGTTTGAGGAACAGAGTAGGATGACGCTGAATGAATACGAACAGTTTGGAAGCCATCAGAAGATGCTCAAAGGCATCCCGACCAGGACGCCACCAAAGAAAGAGGGCAGGGACCTCCAGGAAACGGGAAGACTTTCCAGTAAATTTAACTGAATACAATCTCAACCTTTCCTTCGGAGCGTGTCCCACAGACATCGCTGCCGTTTTACCGGGGGTTTCTGAGAAGAAAAGTGACTCGTCTACCGTCAATCAGATGGCAGGGCGGAAGGAAGATGCAAATGGGAACTCAGCGGGGAGCAGAGCAGTTGAGCGTTACTCCAGTGAGTCTCTGCCTCTTCCTGACACCCAGCCCTAAGCCCCTGCCTTCTTTCTCCAAGCCTCCTCTCTCCGCTCTTTTCCAGCGTCTTTCCCGTGGGTTTTTTCGTGATTGACCACGCACGTGAAGCAAGGACAAAGGACACGTTTGCTCTCTGTAATCTAGGCCTCGCTGGAGAAGGGATGCGAATCCTTGTCTTGACCTGCCCGGCCTCCTCTAGGTCATTGCCAGGATCAAGAGCTTAAGAAGATCGAGCTTCGTTCCCTGGCTGGTCTTCAAGCCTCTCTCCCCGGGCCCCCGCAGCTGGCCACACCCTATTAGTAGCCATACAAACATTTTATTTGGCCTTAGGAGATGGGTACTGTCCAGCAGGTGTGTCCCGTCACCCCGGCGGGCCGGACCGCTATTTCCGGGCTGTCCTGGCAACCGAATAGCGCTGGGCGTGGCTGCAGTCCGGCAACCCCAAACCGAGATGACCTGGCTTAGAGGACGACCGCAGAGAGTCCGCCACCCGCAGGAGGAGCTGCCCAACCCTCTGCCCTCAGCCTCTGCATCCGCCCAGGAACCCGCGGCCCATCCCAACTTCGGGGCAGTGATAAAGCCTCCGCGCGTCAGGCACCCGGTTGAGACCAGTCACAGACCCTGGAGCCGGGGCTAGGAGAGTTAACCCAACCTGCTGCAGCCGAGGGCCGGGCCGCTGCGAGCGCCTCCCATTGGCCGCCGAGCCGGCTCTGCGCTCATTGGCGGAGGCGCTCGGGGGTGGCTCTTGAAGAGAGTCCCCATTGGCGCTGTGTTCCACGGACTGGAGAGTGGCGGCCCGGCCTCAGCCAGCCACCCCGGGTAAAGGTGCTCCAGCCCCGTAGCTACCTCGCCAAGCTCATCCTTAGCCGCAATCTTAGCTTCCTTCGTCACCCTCCTCTTGCTTGTCGCCAAAACACCTCCGGGAGTCTTCCCTCTGATCCTTTTCTTCTTGTTGCTTTCTTTTTCCTGTCTCTCCAGCTACTGTTTCCCACTCCGCGTTTTCCCAAAATACTCCCTGGTGCCCCTAGCCTGTAATCCCACCTGCCACCTTCTAACATCTGCTCCTCCTTGACCTCCTTTGGTTAACAGAGCCTTCTCGCCAGACTCTCCTACACTTCTCTTTCTCCCCTCTTTTCCACCCGCTGACTCCCAAGTTCCCTGATTTCACTTCTTGATATTTGACCTGACACTTTAGCTCTCTAAATTTTTACCTGTTGCAGCCTGGACTGCAAAAAGCCAGGTGTTACCCTGATACCCATCCCTGCTTTTGGAGGCCATGGACTTCTTGTTGAGTGGTCTAGCAGCCTGCGGGGCCTGTGTGTTCACCAATCCCCTGGAGGTTGTGAAGACCAGAATGCAATTGCAGGGAGAACTGAAGGCCCCGGGAACCTACCAGCGCCACTACCGAAACGTCTTCCATGCCTTCTTCACCATTGGCAAGGTGGATGGCCTGGCCGCCTTGCAGAAGGGCCTGGGCCCTGCGCTCTTGTACCAGTTCCTGATGAATGGCATCCGACTGGGCACCTACGGGCTGGCAGAGGCTAGGGGATACCTGCGCACTGATGAAGGCATCCACAGTCCAGTCCGCAGCGCTGCAGCTGGGGCCCTAGCTGGGGTCATGGGAGCCTATCTGGGAAGCCCAATCTACATGGTAAGAAGGGAAGTCTTGTTTGGGGCCTTCAAGAAAGACCCTTGGTGCAAGGTGGGGGCCTGCCCTACACAAGGGCATTGGTGACAGGGTGCTGTCTCCCTGTAAGCGGGAGTCATAGGAAAGTGCTGGAAAGCTTCAAGACTTTCAACCTGCCTTACACCCACCCACCCAACTGACTGCAATGTGCTCCTGAAGATTACAGATTTTGCTTCTGGAGACTTCTTTGAGTGGGGGTGTTGGTTGTTGAGGCAGGGCCTCCCTCTATAATAGTGTCAAAACTTCTGTAGCACAGCCTGGCTTCAAACCCACTGTCCAACCTAGGCTTCTCTGTGCTTCAGTTAACAAGTGTACATCATAGCTGTCGACAGCTGAGCTTCAGAGTCAGACTTTCTGAAGCGCAGGTCCTGGCTTTGAAAAGTACTCATTGGTGCCACATCTATAAAACAGGAATAATTATATAGTTTTGTGTGGTTGTTGGGGGATTAAAGGAGACAAATGAGATGAACATGTAAAGCATTAGTAGAGGTCCTGGCAAATAGTAAGCATTTGACAGACAAGATTTATTCCTTCCTTTCTTAATTTTGGATACGATCTGGCTATATGACCTAGGCTGCTCTGAAACTCACTATAAACCCAGGCTGGCCTCTTGATCTTCCTTGCCTCTGCCACTGGAGTGCTTTGAATACAAGCATGTGCCACCCTCCCAGTAATCCTGTAGTTTTTATTGTCTTGTTATTGCCCAACACTGAGGCTGACTTTGCGTGGGCAGGATGAGAATCTGAGTAACATGCATCAGTGAGTGTAGGGTCAACAGGGTCCTGGGCATCACAGTATTGCAGTCTCACAGTTTACTCCTTTGAGTTATTACATATAGGTGAAGGGTTGGGATCCTGAGACCCAGAGATGGTAGGTGCCCTGCTCAAGGTCACACAGCTGATTACTGTTGGGACTAGGCCAGGCTTAGTGCAGCTAAGACACTGAGATGATCATAGAGAGCCAACTTGGTCACACTCCTATTACATGAGATCTGAGTACACAGGCATCATCAAAGTCAGCTGAACTGATACCTCTTTGGGTCCTGGGAACCAAAGAATCAATTTTGGGTAGTCAGACAAGGAACCTGATCTGGAATGGGAGCTGGCATAAGAGGCTAGACACCCAGATCTTGCCTAATATGAAGTCTTAGGAAATATTGCCATTCTCCAACCTCTACTCCCAACCCCCAGCCCCAAGGGAAGTAGGGTGTGGAGGGGGCAGGGTATCTTGCAGTGCTAAGAGGGCTGTCCCCTGGGACTGCAGCCAAGGGATACAGAGTCTCACGACCAATTTGTTAAGTGGGAACAACAGTAATTACCAGATTAAAAGGATATAGTCAACGCTCAATATCCTAGAGGAAGTGTGAGGGGTTTGAGTGTATTGGTCTTCATGGTGGGAAGATGACGACTTGGGCACAGGCTGAGATACTCTCTTGTCCCCAGGTGAAAACACACCTCCAGGCACAGGCAACCTCTGAAATCGCTGTAGGGCACCAGTATAAGCATCAGGTGAGGGTTCCCCAAACCACTGGAGTACCCAACCATCTCCTCCATCTTCTCCCAGTCTTTTGCCGGCACCTAGCAGCTCCAACTCCAGCCACTGCTCTGCCCGACCCCGTCAAGTCCTGCTTGTCAGGCCCTGGAGCCCACCCTGACCCTCCTGTGCCCTGTTCCTCCAGTTCCCCACACCTGTTTCTTCTGCCCATTCCCTTGACCTGCTAATGTCCTCACTTCCATACCTCTAGCCTGAACTCTGGGTTGGCAAGGGTTAGTAGACACCTGAGGGCCCCTGTTCTGACTCTAAGCCTACAGTGACCTGGTTGTCTGGGCAATAGGTGATCCTTCAAAGCATCATCGGGAGGCAGTTCCTGGTGGTGGGGTGACTGAACCCCAACCCCATGGTCTTCTCCCCACCAGGGCATGTTTCAGGCACTAACCAAGATTGGCCAGAAACATGGTCTAGTGGGGTTATGGCGTGGGGCCATGGGCGGCCTGCCCAGAGTTGTCGTCGGTTCCTCTACCCAGCTGTGCACCTTCTCATCCACCAAGGACTTCTTGAGCCAGTGGGAGGTACTGCCAGGGAAAGGGTGGGGCCATCCCTGGAATGGGAAACAAGGGTGGAATAAGGGAGGTGGACCCTGGACAGGATGATGCCAAGGTTCAAAAGTGAGGGAGCAACAGGAGGGCTTGGGGTCATTGACTCGTGAAGCAGGATTCTGTCATCATTTCCCACCAGAAGGGGTACCGAAGCCCTCTGGACAGTCCCCCTTCACAGTCGTCACACTGTGTTATCTCTGGTGGTATGGAAGCTTCCAGAAATTATGTTCCCAGGGCACGGTCTGTCCTACCCCTTATAAGGTTGAATGACTGTGTGGTTGATAAAATTCTCTTTCTTATAGATCTTTCCTCCCCAGAGCTGGAAGGTGGCTCTGGCAGCTGCCATGGTGAGTGGCATCGCAGTAGTCCTGGCCATGACACCCTTTGATGTAGCCAGCACAAGGCTGTATAACCAACCCACTGATACTCGTGGCAAGGTAGGGGAGCACTGCAGGGTTCAGGCTGACCAGAAACACTGGGGGTGGAGAAGTGGATCCTCAAATGCTACCTGCAAAGGTGTCTGACCCTGGCGATCTCTGACATGCTCCTCCTGTGCTCTCCCTCCCTCTCTGACATGCTCCAGGGCCTCATGTACCGGGGGATCTTGGACGCTCTGCTGCAGACAGCTCGGACAGAGGGCTTTTTTGGCATGTACAAGGGTATAGGTGCCTCCTACTTTCGCCTTGGCCCCCACACTGTCCTCTCCCTCTTCTTCTGGGATCAGCTGCGTTCCCTCTACAACACATACACTAAATGAGTCGCTCTGCCATACCCAAATCAACACTCTTTGGGCACCTCGGCCTCTACTTAGTATCTCGGTGACTATTTACTGACCGATGGACTTCTCATCCACCTAAGGAGGACAGCCATGCCCACTCCCTCTCTGTTCTCCTAGGGTTGAATCACTGGGAACTGTAATGTATGTCCTTCCCTTAAATATTGCTTTAAATTTCCCCACAAATCCCCCTGTATACTTCACACCCATCTCAGGGTTGAATCAGACACTCCAAAGTATATTTCTACTGTCATTCTTGGGTCCCTCCTGCTCCTGCGAACAGCTTTAAAGTCCCCCTTCCAAGACCAAAGGGAACTGGGAGACCCAGGTGTCCTCTTAGATTCAAAGCCACAGAAACTAGGATGTTTATAAAGCAAGTTTATTTCCGCAGAGGAGGTGTCTTATGTTTATGTCCAGGGAAGAAGTAGACACTCCCCCTCTCAGAACCAGGTCCCTGAGTCCTCAGCATCAGTATGTTGTGCTCCTCCATCTTTACTGGGGACCAAAGATGTTGGGATCATGAAGAGTCAAACTAGTCACCAGTTGTTCAAAGTTACCCAGGCTCCAAGGTGGACATGATAGATTTTCAGGGCCATGAGACCTGCTGTTAGAGTTTAGGGTGAGGGAACAGAGGGAGAAAGAAAATAGACCGGCTTTAGTTTTGCATGATTACACTTCCTACTCCCCAGAAGGCCGTGGTCCATTTCTACCTTCTTGAAGGAGTCCACCAGGCAATCTTCCTGCCTGACCCACCCAGCCTAATTGTCAGGGAGCGGGGAGGGGGGTCCAATTGCGAGCTTCCCACCCTTTTCTTCGTCCTTACGGGGGCTGATTGAAGGTGAGCAAGAGGTCAGTCTGGTACTGGGGCAGCCGAAGCAACGCCTGATGTAGTGTGACATCCTTTGCTACCTAAAGGGATCAGAAACAGGACGCTTACCAGGATGGTAACTGGTGCTACCCCCCACACACACACTTCAGGACATCCCAGGCGCCATGGCCCTCACCTGCTGGTTTTCTTTAGCTACCTGCTGCTTGCCAGAAAGGAACCAGGCATCTTGACAGCAGCCCCTCAGAGATAAGTTCTCCAAACAGAGAGGCTGCACAGATAACACGTGCACGGTCCTAGCCCCCTGCACCCTGCCAACGTCCTCAAAGTGGTACCTGGAGTGGGGGGGGACAGGGATAAGGAGGGGCATCTCTGAATAACCCATCCCCACCCTCGAGCCCCACTCTCTTCTGACCAGTCTGCTAGTTCGCCCTTGGAGTTTTCGTCCCGAATAACCGTCCAGCCACGGGCCCCGCCCACTTCCTCAGTTCCTGGCCTCCCATTGGCTAGCTTTCTCACCGCGCAGCCGCTTCGCCCCGCACGTGGGCCTGCATCTCCAGAAGTTCCACGATCAGACTTTGGTCGGTCACGGGATGGCAGAAAACTTCTTGGTTGTCCGGGACGGGTCGGAGGTCGCTACAAGAGGGGCAGGGACACTCTAGTTGTCTCTGGTTTCTTCCTGCAACCCACCCGACCGGCCTCCTGGGCGTCTGGGCTTGCTCACCTCACATCAATGGCCCCAGGGGGGAGGATGGCGGAGAAGGCGCCTCCGAATAGTGGAAAGTTTCTGGTGGGCTCCATAGATCTGAGACTTGAATCTGGACATTAGCGAGTGTTAAAGAAACCTACATAGGCCTTTGAGGCATCACGTCCTCTAGGGCTCCTGGAGCACCCACCACCTCCTCCCGGCCTACTAAGCTCTTGGACCTTTAAGATCTGACCACGCCCTGCGATCACGCTGACCAATCGGCGCTCGCGCATTAGGGGCGGGGCTTTCTTGGGGCTGTTCTGTAAGCTCTGCTCTTTGGAAGGAGCCAGGCTAGAGTATGGGGTCTGGTTTGCTGTACGATTTAGGTTTAGGATTTGTGGCACCCGTGCACGCTTGCTCCTCCATTTTAAAAGTACCTTCTAATACGGTCACTTGAGACCGTCCTTAACAGTTCTTCGCCTAGTGGTGGTGGCGTCCACTTTTAATCCTAGTACTTGGGAGGCAGAAGCAGGTGGATCTCTAAGAGTTCGAGGCTAGCCTGGTCTACAGAATGAGTTCCAGGACAGCCAGGGCTACACAGAGAAACTCTGTCTCAAAAGGAAAAAAAAAAAGCTAAGAACAGTTGTTCAATCAAGGACCTATCTAGGTGAAATCTCTGAGTAAGGGAAGAATCGTTTGAGGTACGTGACCCAGAATGGGCTGACAACCAGACCACTAATTCCCCGATTTTGTGCTTTAAATTAAGGGAAACAACAGGTCCAGGTGTGGGTCTAGGTTAGGATTCGGGCTTCAAGCCTTGACACCTAACCTGAGGATTACTGTTCTAATCCCCTCAAATCTTCCCCTTGGGAGGGCAAGGGGAAACTCCCCCAGTACACCTGAACCAAAGCACAGATTAAACTGTTGTTTTTCCTTTACAGATTTTTAAAGAGTGTTCTTTTAAGTATTAGTTTAACTTTATCCTCCCAGTTAATTTCTCCATTCATCCTTAATCCCCAGCACCTGGCATAATGTTTAGAACATTATAGGCCTAGTGGTATATTGTTGCACGACTGAATAAATCTACTAGTGCCAATGCCTGGGAGCTAGGAAGCTACTTACCTATGCCCCTCGTGGATTCTATGTAGCATCTACCGCCCAGCTGAGAACTGAGTAAACGGAATCTTATCCTGGCCACATGAACCATCCTAATTTACTGAAATGGATCTGAGGGTTACGTGTTTGTTGATGCCTTACATTGCAGTTATTTCCTTCTTGGGCTTGGCAATATAAAGGTACACCTTACCAAGGTGTAAAAGTATCAGTGGGCTTGCTTTGAGTCTTAAAGTTGGTTTTACAGAGCTCCTGAGGGTATCCTAAAGGTATTCCAGCCAGGACATAAGTGTAGAAACTTGGAGGTGAGAGTGTATACTCTAGAAAATGCAAATATGTGGGGGGAGTCTGAGGAGGGGCACAGCAGGTGAGGGTCCTTTACCATTAAATTCTCTCTCCTTCCTTCTCTTGCTCCCTGCTCCCTCCCTGTGGCTTTGGTCATCCCACCTTACCTCCTATGCACTGAGTATGCACTGCCACAGGTGTGCATGTGCTACCACACCCAATTTGGATTCATTGTTTACTGTAGACATCTGACTTTCCTGAGCTTTTCCTCATCTCTAAAGCACTGCTCGGATTGAAATGTGTTCAGGTATGGTGGCACATGCCTTTAATCCCAGCACAGGGGAGGCAAAAGCAATCAGATCTCTCTAGTTCAAGACCAGCCTGTTCTCCACAGTGAGTTCCAGGCCAGTCAGTGTTATATAGTGAGACCCTTCCCCAGTAAATAAACAAATACATAAATAGACCTGAGATGTGGATGTAGTTGGCCAATCTGTTTCTGGGTGGGTCTGTGACTAGGTTTACTCCATAAGAGGAAAGGTCCTGCAGGCCCCCATGAGATAGAAGGAACCTGGCCATAGAGGTCTCTCTGCGTAGACCTTTCTGTCCCTCCTCCCCACCAGGAGCAACAACAGCTCTAATTGCTTTGTACACAGTCAAGCAGATCAAAAAATCCTTGGCTAGTCGGGCGGTGGTGGTGCAAGCCTTTGCTCCCAGCACCAGGAAGCAAAGGCAGGTGCATCTCTGTGAGTTCAAGACCAGCCTGGTCTACAAGAGCTAGTTCCAGGACAGAGAAACCTTGTCTCGGAAAAAAAAAAAAAGAAAAGAAAAGAAAAATCCTTGGCTAGAGACCTCCAATGACATAGATGCTATTAACAAGATCATAGCACTAAGTCCCGGGCAAAAGAAGAGCAAGTGGCTTCAGCTTCCCCCGTTGTGTTCCTGGCACGCCTCATGTGGGCTACAGGTAGCTGAGACCCCTGTCTTTCCCCAGTGTTTGAGCTCTATGACAGGATGGTAGGGAGCAGAGTTATACCAAGGCTCAAGGCCGAATCTCTTCTGTGGTAGAAGGTCCCTTGTCTTGGTAGGACTCTAGATCTCTGCTGTTGGCTTGCCATTCCTCTCTCGGTATCTGCCATCTCTTCTAGTCTTCTCAATGCTGAAACCCCAGTGTATTCAAACTCAAACTCCCTTAAAAACAAACAGGTCAGTTTGTTGCCGTTGGGTCTGAAAAAGTATCTGAGCGCAGTGGGACCCTTGGCTCAGCTGCAGCTGGGAGGAGGAGCGTCCTAGGACCAATCCCTGAAATGGCACAAAGCTGCTCTTCTCAGGGTGCAAGTGTCTCCAGCCAGTAGCCTGCTGGTGACACCAAACCTACAACTGGGACGGGTGACTCTGTGCTCTGGGATGGTCCCTTTCCTTTGAAGGAACCAAAAGACAGACTTTGAGGGGGTTGGAGAGATGGATCAGCAGTTAAGAACACTTGTTGCCTTTGTAGAGGTCCTGGGTTCGGTTCCCAGTGCCCAAACAGTGGTTCACCACCATCTGCAACTCCAGTTCCAGGGGAGCCTCTGCCCTCTTCTGACCTCCATGGGTACCAGATACATATGTGATGGCCCACAGGTGCAGGCTCATAGAATAAAATAAATCTAAAGGAAAAAAGAAAAGACTTTGACCCCCCAGTGATACAGCACCTGGTGACAAACATCCCTTCATGGAAGAGTTTTCGTTTTGTTTTGTTTTTTCCGAGACAGGGTTTCTCTGCATTGTTTTGGAGCCTGTCCTGGAACTCTCTCTGTAGACCAGGCTGGCCTCGAACTCACAGAGATCCGCCTGCCTCTGCCTCCCAAGTGCTGGGACTAAAGGTGTGCACCACCAACACCCAGCCCCTTTATGGAAGAGTTAAGGCTACCTATTTCTTGTATGCAGGAATTTTAAGCCTTCAGTCTTACCATGGGTCCCTTTGAAATTTTGGTGAAACTCATGAATACTTACTAGGAAAAATATTTGTAAATTATAAAATAAAATGTATAGGAACACAAGAGAAACTAGTTTGTTTTGTTTATTTTTTCAATATGTAGTCTTGGCTGAACTGGAACTTAATATGTAAATCAGGCTGGCTTCAAACACAGATCTGTCTGCCCTTGCTTGAATGTGTGTGTGTGTGTGTGTGTGTGTGTGTGTGACTTGTGGAGTTCAGAAGACAGTGCTGGATCCCCTGGAACTGGTATTAGGGATGGTTGAAAACTCCCACGTGGGTTCTGGGAACCAAACCTGGCTCCTCTGTAAAAGCAGCAAGTATTGAGCCATCTTTCCATTGCCACAGCTATTTTCTTCTTAAGATTTATTATTTGTGTGTGTGTGTGTGTGTGTGTGTGTGTGTGTCTGCCAGGTATGTGAAGATGTCCTTGGAGGCTGGAAAAAGGTGTCAGATCCCCCGGGAACTGAGATGGGTGCTAGGATACATAACTCAGTGAGTCATCTCTACAGCCTCACTATGGTGGTATGTTTTTCAAGATTGTCTAGCTTTTACTTGATATGAGCCTTTTTTTTTTTTTTTTTTTTTTTTTGGTTTTTCGAGACAGGGTTTCTCTGTGGCTTTGGAGGCTGTCCTGGAACTGGCTCTGTAGACCAGGCTGGCCTCGAACTCACAGAGATCCGCCTGCCTCTGCCTCCCTAGTGCTGGGATTAAAGGCGTGCGCCACCAACGCCCGGCTTGATATGAGTCTTTTATTTGCATGTATGAATGTTTGTGCACCACCTGTATGCCTGCCACCCTTCAGAGGGTGTCAGAGCTCCTGAAACAGAAGTTACAGGCCACCATGTGGATGCTGCTGAACTGGGTCCTCCTAAGATCAGCCATCTTCCAGATCTCTAAGCCTCTCTCCAGTCCCCTACTTTTGTTTGAGACAGGGTCTTACTATGTAATTCAGTTTGGCCTTGAATTTGAGGTAGTCCTTTCTCAGTTTCCTAAGTGCCAGAATGTCAGGTGTGCCACCATGCCTCACTAAAAACAAAAATATATTACTGTCAGCCAGGCAGTGGTGGTGCATGTCTTTAATCCCAGCATTTAGGAGGTAGAGACAGGTAGATCTCTGTGAGTTCAAGGCCAGTCTGGTCTACAAGCAAATTTCAGGACAACTAGGAGTACACAGAGAATCTCAGTCTCAAAAAAGAAAGAAAGAAAGAAAGAAAGAAAGGAAGGAAGGAAGGAAGGAAGGAAGGAAGGAAGGAAGGAAGAAAGAAAGAAAGGGAACCAAGGAAGAAACGAAAAATATTTAATGTTAATTGCATGAGTATTTTGCCCATCTACATGTATCTGTGTACCACCAGTGCTCTTAAACGCTGAGCCATTCTCCCCTCCACCAAAGTAGATTATGCATTATTCATCTACTTGTTTGTTTTCTTATTTGTTTATTTGCTTTTTTTTTTTGAGACAGGGTTTTTCTGTAACAGCCCTAGTTGTCCTGGAACTCACTATGAAGACCAGGCTGACCTCAAACTTAGAGATCTGCTTGCCTCTGCCTCCCAAGTGCTAGGACTAAAGGCGTGTGCCATCTATCATGCCTGGCTAATTACTTGGTTTTCTTTTTTTGTTTGTTTTGTTTTTGAGATAGGGTTTCTCTGTAGCTTTGGAGCCTGTCCTGCAACTCTGTAGACTAGAGTTGGCCTCGAACTCGCAGAGATCCACCTGCCTCTGCCTCCTGAGTGCTAGGATTAAAGTCATGCAACCCCAATCCCAGCCTTTTTCTTTTGTTTTCTTTTTAAAGTGAGCCCCACCACTCCCAGCCTTTGCATATATAACTTGTTTACATTTTATATACATTGGTGTTTTGCCTGAATGTAGGTCTGTGTGAGGGTGTCAGAGCCCCTAGAACTGGAGTTAGTTCAGATAGTTGTGAGCTACTGAGTCATCTCTCCAGCCTATTTAGTTTTCTGAGAAAAGGTCTTACTCAGACTAGCCCAGAATGACCTTCCCTCAGGCTCCTAAGAGTGCAGGAATTACAAACCAAGAGTAAACAACCCTGCTAGGCTAAAGTAGAATAAAGTATTTAAATATACTTACCAAGATCCAGAGCTTATCCAGGCTTGGGAGCTGGAAACCAGACCATGGTCCTTTACAAGAGCTCTTAACGTCATCTCTTCTGCCCCAAGGAAATAAATTTGTAAAGGTCCTCCCTGTGCATAGTGAGTGCAAAGCCATGGGAGTCTGGCAGGGGTGAGGACACAGCCTCATGGAAGAGACTGCTGGGTCTCCAACCCGGGTTCTTCCCTGTATCAGTCCCTACCTGCTTCCGGGTATGGCTGGCATACCCTGTCCTCTGCCCTAAACGTCTCCAGTCCAGAGGCTGGGCTGCCCTTCTCCAGCTGCCTTATGTATATAATCCAGCCATTTGGGTGGTGCGTCCCGGTCTGTTGCCCTCCCCCTCCCCCTTCTACTCTTTTAGCTCAGGCTGCTCCTCTTGGTCTGCAGCTGCTCTCCCCTCCTCCACCACACGGCTCAGGGGCATGTCCACTCTGAGCTTTCCCAGCTGTCCCTGCCTCTGGCTATGCTATCGTCTTAATCTACAATAAACTTTCTCCTCCACCTTGACTAGGAGCACTTTCGTCCCTCCTCTTTCATTCAAGTGCCTGACGTTCAGTCCTTTCTACTGGGGGCAAAGATTAGGAGAAAGAAGGAAGGCAGATGGAACAGACCCTTTCTTTCTCATTCTGTTTACATTGCCTTCAAAGCCAGTCAAAAGGGAAGCAAGGGCATTTTTCCTGGCAGAGCCCTATTCAGATAATTTTATTTTCATTTCCTCTAAGCACTAGGTAAACATCATAGTTCATATTTTTCATGCAGGTGTGGTCACTTAAGGTCTGTGTTTCCAGTACTCTGGAGGCAGACATAGAATCTCCTCAAGTTTGAAGCCATCCTGAGCTGCATAGTAAATTTCAAGCTGGCTGGGGCTACATTGTGAACCCTTCCCTCCAAAAGTTCTTATTTTCTTCTTCTTCTTCTTTTTTTTTTTTTTTTTTCGAGACAGGGTTTCTCTGTATTGTTTTGGAGGCTGTCCTGGAACTCGCTTTGTAGACCAGGCTGGCCTCGAACTCACAGAGATCCATCTGCCTCTGCCTCCCAAGTGCGCCACCAACACCCGGCTCAAAAGTTCTTATTTTCATCTGCTCTATTATACTATCAGGGAGAACTGATGAAAACATTTTACTTATTCTTGCAGCTTTGTCTCCGTGACTCAAATGCCTGCCTCTAGCCCCACCCCTAATGTTGCTGCATTAGAGCCCAAGCTTCATTATGAGTAGTACTGGGACAGGCCTATTCAAGCCACAGTACTGAGAAGTCACGGTTAGCTAACTATTCCATAGCCAGGGCTCTGTAACTTCTGTCTTGAGGAACCTGGGCCTGGAGCCAGCTAAACAGCTCATATCCCACCCACCCAGGCAAGTTACATAACCCCCAGCTCAATTCTGGAAATCCTTCTCGAGACTTCTCATCAGGGTCATGGCCACCTGCATCTCTAACCTGTGTCCACACATATTCCAGAGGTGGAAAGAGGATGGGAGCTGGACAAGTTCATGAGTGGCAGGGTGTGTGGTACCAACCGGGTGGCCTGCTGGCTCTGAGGAAGGGTATGGAGGTGGTTCCCTTCACAACCCCTCAGAGTCCCGTGGACCTCACTGGGGAAGAGAGGCCAACAATATGACAGGGTGAGTAGTGGATTCCTTGGCCTACAACACAGGACAGGATCCTTGTTCTGGCCCCCAGTGGGGCTCCACCTATCCTTTCCTCGAGAACCCCTGAGAGGCCATCCATTTGGAGACCCACAGGACACAGCTGAACCTTCTCATCTGCTTTATTTGGCCAAGGTCAATTCCTTCTAAGTTCCCACAGGTGATGTGTTGGGAGAGTGGGGAGGGCCTACCACACTGTAGTGGCAAAGAGAGGACTTTGCCTCTAGGCTAAGATTGGGGCAGCTGAGCTAGGACTCAGTGGGGGGACAGAGAACAGAGCAGCACTCTCTTCTATTGCCCTGGATACTTTCCAGGACATCCCAGGAGACTCTGGCAGTGGAAAGTCACTGTACCGGTTAGACCTGACCATGGTGGCCATTCACTTCAGACCTGCCCACTCCTAGATAAACTTCCTCATCCACCCACACCTCAGTGCCCCAATCCCTTCTGACTGCCTCCTGGATATCTAAACTTACCTCCTTCAGCATGTACCGTTGATGCCTCAAACTCAATAATTCCAAAGCAAAACATACTATTACCTCTCAAATGTGTCCCTCTTGCCGTCAGTAAAATGTTTGTCTGCCCAGAGTCCCGGGGGCAGGCAGGGTTTTATTGGCTTGCTCTCTTCTCCACCATCTCCTGACTCTTCACATTTATCCCTCCACACCCACTTTCTGGTTGTTAACTTTCCGCTGGTTCTCAGGTCCTCCCATTTCTCTCCAATAGCAACTACGGCTCCAGGCAGCACTGCTGCTGAGAGACCACTTAGTCTCCTCTCTGCACTCTCTCCGCCTCCCATCCTCTTGTCCTCTCAGCAGCTACCACAATCTCTAGGTCCCAAGTCTGGGGCTGAGAGTATAACTCAATACAGTAGCTTGCCTAGCGGATGTGAAGCCCAGGGTTTGATTCTGACCACCACAGAAAGCCGGCTGTGGTAGTGCATTCCTCTTTCAAGGTCACTCTCAGCTATCAGTGAGTTCGAGGCCAGTGTAGATTCCATGAGCTCCAATCTCAAAAGCCAACTCACCAGTCTTTTCATACCTGCCCCTACATTCACCTCTTCGAGTGCTTTTTTTGTTTGTTTGTTTTGCTTTTGTTTTCAGAGACAAGGTTCTCTATATAACAGTCCTGGCTGTCCTGGAACTCACTCTGTAGACCAGACTGACCTTGAACTCACAAAGATCCACCTGCCTCTGCCTCCCCTGTGCAGGGGTGCTGTGCCACTGCCTGGCTCCGAGTGCTTTTCTAACACTCTTTCTTGTCCTGGATGCTTTGTGTGTTCTGCTAGGTCTTTGCCTGGTGTGTTTCTAGTTTGTTCTTCATGTTCCAGGCAGACTTACTTCATTCATTCAGTTCCTTAGTGTACATACCCTGTCTAGCCTCTGAGGCTCTGCAAACATTGTTTTCCTAGAGTGTTACCACAAGTAGACAATGGCTGTGTGTGCTTGCCTCCAGATACCTGCACTGCTGAGAACTCTCAAGGTAAAAGAAAGACATCACTTATTCCAAGTCAGCTTTCCTCCAATGTGCCACAATGCCAAGATTCTTTCACAATTGTGACCTGGTGGACAGGTTCCAGTTTCACAGCCCTCTGTCCCACCCTTTCTACTCCTGAGGCCAAGCAGACAGATGATGTTGCCCCTTTGGGCTGGGTGACCTTGTGCCAGAGGCAATCCTAATGTTCAGTTTATTTGGACGAATTTCTTGAAGCCCTAGAGATGCCGAGGCCCATCCAGCAGTCCCCCTAGGCCTCCACCTCTGGCTGTTTGCTGCCCCCAAGTGTCCAACAACAGACCAGAGAGTTCATGGTTAGCAACGCAGGGTCTCAAGAATATCAGGTGAGAGACAAGTTAGACAGACCCTTGGACTTTGGTGGCATAGGCCCCTGTAGGCAACATCTTGTTCTGTCCACAGACTCACTGCTGCTTGGTACCTACCACTTTTTCCGTCTCAGTCCCTTTTCTGTGCTGTAGTGTATGTGTGAGATCTCAGTGGCAATTTGGAGGGAAGCATGAGTGGGGCTGGTATAGAGTAGTCTGGTTAGATGCCTTCCCAGAGAAGGCAGTCCTTATCGGGTAGTCCCCACTGGGCCCTCTTGCCCACAAACCTCCTGCTGCCTGCCGTGGATCCCCCTTCCAGCACCTGGGCACAGACTGGAAGTGACAGCAGTGTGCCTAGCTCTGTGATACACCCTCCTGCAAGACTGAAGAGAGAGCAGTAAGGGGGAAAGAGGAGAGGGGAGGTACAGAGGGATGAGGGAAGATAAAGAGAAACCAACGATGTCAAGTTAGCATCCTTCATTGGACCGATGACAAGAACTTTGTAACTCTGAATGACTGGACAAACCAACAAAGGAAATAAAAAGAGGAGCAGCAGCTTTTTTTTCTGACATCTTAGTGGAGGCTGCAGTGCTCTGAGTTTCATCATGCTGCCTAAGGATGCCAAGAAGAAAGATGCCGGGAAGTCAGCCAAGAAAGACAAAGACCCAGTAAATAAGTCTGGTGGCAAGGCCAAAAAGAAGTGGTCCAAAGGCAAACAAAGTTTGGGACAAGCTCAACAATCTAGTCCTCTTTGACAAAGCTACATGTGACAAACTCTGTAAGGAAGTGCCCAATTATAAGCTTATTACTCCAGCTGTGGTCTCTGAGAGACTGAAGATTCAAGGTTTCTTGGCCAGGGCAGCTCTTCAGGAGCTCCATAGTAAAGGACTTATCAAGCTGGTTTCAAAGCAGAGCCCAAGTAATTTACACCAGAAACAAAGGGTGGAGATGCCCCAGCTGCTGGTGAAGATGTCTAAACAGGTTCAATCAGCTGTACATTTGAAAAAATAAAACTTTATTAAATAAAGGGGGGGCAGCAGAACCAGACAACCAACAAACCAGTCACTGAATTCACTTTCTGTTTCCAGCTGGGGGCTGGAAAGATGGCTCAGTGGTTAAGACTATTCTCTGTGCTCCAAGGGATGCTGGTTCAGCTCCCAGCACCCACACAGTGCCTCACAACAAACTGACAACTTCCGTTCAAGGGAATCCAACACCCTAGCTGGCCCTCAAGGGCATTGCACACATGTGGTACACACACACATGCATGCAGGCAAAACATCCACACACATAAATCTTTAAAAATAAATCTGTACTTCCTTTAGGCCAATCCCCACAATCTGTCTTCTGACACCCCCTCACTGCCATGGCATTCATGCCCCCACCATCCCATCCCTCCCGACATAAATAAATGTAACTTAAAACATTTTAAAGTTGATGCCAGTTTCCAGCTTTCATGTTCACTCATTTGTTCAGCATAGACTTACTGGCCCCAAAGTAGGTGCCAGGTCCTGTTAGAATAAATAGAGGGTAAAAACAGAGCTCTTGGGATCATGGGAGTTTACACTGTGCTGGGGAGACAGATCTTTGATTAAAGAAGTATTGTTTGAGGTAAGATTGCAGTGGTGGGGGCTGGAGAGGTGGCTCAGAGGTTAAGAGCACTGGCTGCTCTTCCAGAGGTCCTGAGTTCAGTTCCCAGCAACCACATGGTGGCTCACAACCATCTGTAACGAGATCTGGCGCCCTCTTCTGGCCTGCAGGTGTACATGCAGGCAGAACACTGTATATATAATAAATACATTTATTTAAAAAAAAAAAAGATTGCAGTGGTGATGGGTGTCTATGCTACTGTGACAGTC